GCCTGTGAGGAAACCCAAGGTCTGTGCAGAGCTGGCAGATCCGGAGAAGGGGATTTCACAGAATGCTAAAGGACAAACCCCCTGTTCCAACACACAAATGCAAGGAAGAGCCGTGGTTGGGCTCGATGCTCAGCTCAGGTTCCAGGATGATCAGGGAGCCTGGATGCAGCCTGGTTGCGCTCCCACTTGGAGAACACAGAGGCTGCCCTTTGGTGGCCCTCAGGAACCTTTTGGCATCCTTTGCCGTGGGTGGCTGCCAGGCAGAGAGCAGCCAGGGCAGCTGCAGGTCCCCCCTGAGCACTGGGCAGCTCCAGGGCCACCCAGGCGATTCCTGCAGCAGATCCCAGCCCTGCCTGGATGCTCAGTGGCCACTGCTGACTGTAACAGTGGAGGCACCGTGTCATCCTCAGGACTTGCCCAAAGCAGGCCAGATATTGCTAAGAGTAAGTTTTCATAGGCCAGCACACAGGTTGCTGGGCTGCCAGCATAATTCCATGTTTCACCTGGACACCTGAGGCCCTGGGAAATGCCAAGGTGGATCTGGTTGGCTTTGGCAAAAGCAGGGGAACTGCTCCAGGAGCACTTTGGAGAGATGACCCTTGCCTGGGGTAGGAGGAGGCAGGGAAAGCAGCTTGTGCTGGGAGGCCTGCAGTGTCCCATCATTCCTCTTTTCCTCCTTCATGGACTGATTGCACCAGAACTGCAAATCTTGCCCAAGGTGTGCCCTCTCCATCTGCAGTGCTGACATCACACTGTTTCTCTGCAGCCCTTCTGAACAGCAGCAGCACCTATCTCCATGATCTCTGTCCAAATCAGCATGAGGGCAAAGGAAAAAACAGAGTTCAGACTAAGGTACCAAAGAGTTAACACTTTTCTAGGTTTACAGTTGTATTTGTAGGATTTGTACTATGTCACATTTATAGCCATGAGATATTATTTTTATGCTGTAAACTTTTACAAATACGTTTTTAAAGAAGGAGTTTAAAAATAAAGGTGTTTTTCATTTTGCAAAGTCCCATCTCTTCCTTTATTTGCCTGATTTTGGTTGCTCCCACTCAGATGGGGCTGGCAATACAGCTTACCCCTGTGGTGGGTGAAGGGTAAGCATGTTAATACGCTGTGCATGACCCCAGTGCTTAGTGAAAGCCAAGCTGGGAGCCAGGCAGGGAGAAGCACTGCAAGGAGCAGCTGAGCCCAGAGACAGGGTAAGGAAAAGGGGCAGGATCTGCCCCATCTCTGGTGACTGTGCAGCTTGTGGGACATGTGGGTAGAGGGAAGGATATCAGGGATTGTTCCCATGTGTATCCCCACTGCCTGGGGTTTGGGCCAGCACTCCCTGCTGAGGACTTGGCCCCTTGGAGCATTGTTGGGTCTGTGCTCAGATCAGGGTGGGGATGCAGGAGAAATGACAAACTGAACAGTGGCTGGGCTGAAGGAGATGGCAGACACCACAGCCCTGATTTTTCCATGTAGTTTAACAGCTCAGGGCACTGGGAGGGCCTGGAGACAGCAACAGGGCAGGGCACCAGCAGGAGCCACACTGCAGCACACAGGGCTCCCCATGCCCAGTTCTCCTCCCTTCCCTCTAGGATGAGGAATTTGCTGATACCCTCAAAAGCTGCACCTCCAAAATCCTGGCTCCTCACACCACCACTCCCTCAGATCCACATGTCACTCTGCTCTTATCACCTTTCCCCAGTCACCTTTCCAGAGTCACTGAGGTCCCCCAGCCACATGAGAGACAAACATCTTTTTTGAGTTTTGCCCCAAGTTTTCTCCTCTCTCTAGCTCAAATTTGACTGCTCCTCTAAAATCTATCTCAAGCTGCAGAGCAGAGATGTTTGCACCTGCTCTGAGCCACGTGCTTGGAAAGCCCAAGGTTGCTGCAAAGAGGGGTTTTTGGTTAAATCATATCAGTGTTGACCCTGTTTTCTGGCTCCATGATAAAGCCCCCACTGGCAACAGTTGTGCCTCCCTCAGCTCCTGGAAATTCTCTGTGTACCCAGAGGTCCAAGGCATGGAGTGCAGCAGCAAGCGGGTCCAAGTTCCAGCAAGGCTCCCCTTTCCAGCACAGCCTGTCCTGGGTTCCTGCCTTTGCTCATTTTTCCAGAGTGGAGGTTTGCAGCCTCCCTGACCAGCTCAGGCTGATTCTCCCCAGATATGCTCTGAGTCACCTGGCATGGCTCAGTCAGGGCATTTTTCTCCAGGAGCTGAATCAGCAGGGAGAAAAAAGGGAGAAAAAGAACCCCCTTTGTCCAGAAAGGCTGCATCAAAGGCCTGGGGAGGAGCAGAGGGGGGGAATTGACAGACCTCAGCCCTGAACCCTGCAGGCTCTCACTGATCCCTACCTTGTGCATGTCAGGATGTGCTGGAGTGGGGTTCTGGGGCTGGAAATGAGCAGGCCAACATTGGGACCCCAAGCAGGGCATTTCCCCCACCCCAAAACAAGTCTCCTCTCCAATGATGAGACAGACACCCCATGGGGGAGCTCAGGGAAGCAGAGAGACAAACCTTGGAGCTGTGGGGTACCAACAGGACACAGGTGTTCCATGTGTGTCCCCAGACTGCTGCAGGGCAGTTCAGGCAGGCATGGCACCATGGCCAGCTGTGCTCAGTGCTGGGGTCCCACAGGGCTCCCAGCCTGGGAAACAACTGAGCTCCTGGTGCTCCCAACCAGGGCTCACAGCAGCCTCCATTCCCCCTTCCCCAGCCATCTACCAGGCACTGGGAAAGTCTCATCCCATCTTTCACAACCATCAGGGCCTCCACAGATATTCCTGGGCATCAAGTTGTTCAAAGTAAGGTTGCAGCTTCTCTGAGAGCATCCCTGCCCTGTGCTCAGAGCTGCCTGGGTGCCTGAGTTCCAGCAGCACTCCTGTGGCTGAGCTGCTGCTTACACATAAGATTTGGCGTGCAGGAGGAAGAGAGGGACACAAAAGGGGGAAGACATCCCAAGCTTGTCCCAGTGAGCATCCCCAGGTGTGCCCAATCCAAGCTGTCACCTGGGGATCACTGCCAGCAGAGATGCTGTGCAAGGGGCCCCCTCAAAGAGAAGAAGGAAGGCTGAGAGATTGTTTCCCTTCTCTCTATTAAACCTGTCTGGTTTAATACTTACTCACATTGGTGAGTCAGTTCTCTCTGAGTTGGCATTTGTTCCTGGAAAAAAAAAAAAAGCCTTAAAAAGAAGAAGGAGGGAAACAAACATCCTTTAAAAAGCCCCTTTGGCTCGAAAGGAGGAAAGAATAATCAAGCAGACATCTCCTGTGGCCCAGCTGCTTGACAACCCCAGCTCTGGGCAGGAGCCCCCCAGAGCACCATGCTGCCTCTAATTCATGTTCTTCTTCCCTATCCTGCCAGGAAAAACTGCTGAGGGGAAATGTTATTTGGCCAAAAACTGCCTTTCCTTCTCTCTGGACTCCCTCAGGCTCTCCAGCCATCCTTCTGGCCAAAACCCTCTCCATGTTCCCATGACTCTTAGTCATCTCCAGCACAGTCAGCCATGCTTTCATCCCTTGGCCCCAGGACCTTGTCTTGCTGGTACCTCTCTGACTGTCCCCTTTGGAGAAGCCCATTCCCCTCCAGGCTGTGGAGGCTTTCAGAGCACTGCAGGTGCAGATTCAACAACCACCTCTGCAGATATTTTGGAACAAGCCTTCTCTCTCTGCCCATGGTTTGTCGTGGGGTTCCTGTCACCTCCCACTGTTGGGGCTGCTGCTGGGGCACTTGGCAGAGCCCCTGGCTGGACCTTCCTCCCCTGTGCTCCCTTCCCAGTGCTGTCAGGTGATGGCTGTCACTTCCCACCCCAGAGCTGCTGTGAACCTCTGCTGCAGTGTGAGGTTATCCAGAGACAGAGCAGGGAGCAAGGGGCACCCTGTGTCTGACAGGATCCACTAATCCTGCTGACTTGGTGTCCCTGGGAGAACTGGCTGACTTCGAGCCTTCCCTCACACCTCTTTTTGAAGACCCACAGTCCAGTGGAGGGTTAACAAAGTATCTGATTTATTAATTGCTAGCACTGCTAATTAGCTAATTAGTTTAATTACCCTGCCAGGTTATCATTACAGACCAGCCCCAAGCAGCCTCCCCAGCAGCGAGGCAGGATGGCTGGGTGGGATGGGCTCCAGGGGAGGAAGGGTCTGTGCTTGAGCCCTGCCTGGTGCTGACAGGGTCACTCTGGGCCCCAGGCTTGGAGCTACTGGGACAGGAAAGAGCAGGGGTCCCCATGTGCCCCCAGCCCAGCCAGGAGCCAGAGGGGTCTGCAAGCAGGACTCCAACACGTCTCCCTGCCAGGGAGGGTGGTGAAGCTGGCATGGGGCTTGGGGATGACCTTGTGTGGCCACAGGATCCCTCTGTGCACCAAGGGTCACACTTTTGGTTAACACAAAATAATTTGGCACTTTCACAGGCTTTTTCCCACCTGGGAGCTGCCCTGGGCTGAATTGCCTTTGTGGGCCTGTTGTGAGGAGCCTGCCATGTCCTGTGAGGGTCCTCAGGTCCCAGAGCCAGCAAGAGCCACTGGGCCTGAGGTGGAACTTGTCCTGCTGAAATAAAATGGAATCCAAGGCCTGCAAGTGTGGGAACACTTTGTGTCCCCACACAAGGCAAAAGTGTATAAATGTCCCTGGGGATTGGATTGGCAGAAGCCAGAGAACATCAGGATTATCCCAAACCCCAGCATGGTGCAGTGGCTGGGGATGGACTCCTCTCTGAGACCTGAGGGGACCCCCAAAAACAGGGGGACCTTGCAGCAGGGTGTGCACATGGCCCCACCTCTGCCATGGGATTTGTCACTGGTGACGTGACAAAGCACGGCCTGGTTTTTTTCCCCATTTCAAAAACAAACAAAATAGGGAATTTGTTAACTTGTGGTCAGCTCAGAAAGGAGAAGCTCCTGACAAGGGAGTGCTGGGGACGGTGGCCACGAGAAGAGGCACCCACTGCTTGAGAGGATCCTTTAGCAGCATCGGCTCCACGCTGGGGACACCACGGTCCCTGGGGACATGGGTCCTGCTCTCCTCCTGCTGCTCACCACAGCTGGCTTCTGGCATGGTAAGTGCTCCCAAAGCCCCACGTCACTCTGGGGAGTTTTGGGATGCGTGAGGGTTTCCTGCTGTGAGTGCTCCGTTCCCTCTCGGGTGAGGAGGGGTGATGGCTTTGGTGGGGACGGGGCTGTGCTGAAGCTGGACTAACAGACACGCAGCTCCTGGAGGTGGAGGGTGAAGTTGGGCTCCCAGGCATGTATCCCAAAAGGCTGCTGTGGGCTGGGATTGGTCCCTGTTTGCTGCTGCATGAAGTGGACACTGCTGTGAGCAGGTTCAAAGGTCCTTGGCGTGGGTAGGCAGAATGTGTGTGCTCTGAGGCACTGCAGGGAAGACACCAGCGCTGGAATTCACTGCAGGCTGGGCTGGAGCAGCTTTCTGAAGGTCATGCAGAGCTGGCTGCAATTGGAGAGGGCAGTGGTGAAAAGAGGGAAAGGTGTACTGCTGGTCTGGAGCCTGGCTTGCTCTTGGCTGCCTGCAGCCCTGCCAAGGTAAGGCCAAGGAGCATGGAGAGGTGCATGTAGCATAGGCAGAGCCTTGGCTGTGGGGAGATAGGAAAGGGAAACTTCCCACTCTTTGGGTCTGGACAGGGTTTAAGATGAAAGAATGGTTCAGCAGCAACTGTGTCCTGAGGGAAGCTCTTTCCAAAAGAAAACTATGCTCAAATGGGGATGGAGCTGGAGATGTTTGGTGTGCAGGTGAAGGAGTCAGGAAAATCAGGTGCACTGGCACCTTCCAAAGCACCTCATGCCCAGTGGAGTGTCTGAGAATTGCTGGTTTCTGATGGTGCTGGCACACACAACAGGGCTGTAGAGCCAGATGCTATGGAAACAACTCAGCCAGCCAAGAAGGGAAAGGTGAACACGCCTGTTTACTGAGGCTGCAGAGATGGCCAAGAAATGATAACTCACCAACCTCAGAAAAGAGTCACTAAGCCTGTTTTGAGGTTTACAAGCAAGGGGTTGGAAACCAGCATTACTAATCTTGCATTTTGAAGTGCTGGGAACCTCTCAGGTCCTGTGTGGCACTCACCTTAATATTCCTTTTGAGCATGCTTGGGGACACAGTGAGACTGCGGTGTGAAGTCCTCCTTGGAAGGGGACAGCCTGTGGGGAAGGCATTTAGCATGGGACAGGTGGGCAGCAAATCCTTCTTGGGCCACTGCAGCGCTCCTGTTTTCAGCCCGGGAAATTTGCATCCCTCTCACTTGTTGTTTCACTTCAAGTGATGTTTGCAACATGTTGAGCATAATTTTCTAGGTCTGCTGTGCTGGGAACTGGGTTGTGAAGGCTTCAGGGTTTTTCATTTCTTGTGATTTTTATGATAATAGGGACTAGGCAGGTGTAATGCAGATCTGTGAGAGATCATAACATAGTTTTTAGGATCTTTCCAAAGGTTCCTTGAGCCACTGGCCAGTGCCAGATCACCAGCTCATGAGGCACTTCTTCATGAATGCACATCTTCATGAAGCACTGTCTGCCATGTCAGGCTGTAGGACACACATTTGTGTGGGTACCAGCACTGCTGGCCGTTTGCAGCACAAAGCTGCCCCAAAGTAACAGCCTCCAGCTGGAGTCAGAGCCTGACTTCCTTCTCCTACCTCTTAGATTGCAAGTGCATCTTCTGTGAATACCCAGGGCTGATGGAATGTGATTGTTGTGATCTGGGCTCTTGCTGAGGGAGGGTAAGGGGCTCAGATCAAGCAGAGGAAATGTTTTAAACTTGATCATCTTGCATCTGTGTTCTTGGCCATCTTGAGATGTAGTTCTGGGGTTTTGTTTTCTTATTTTGGGCAATCTAAACCTCTGAGGTGGAAGCCCCAGGCGGAGCTGTGATGAGCACACTTTTCTCCATCCCCGGTTCCCCAGACACTGTAGATGACTTTGGGGAAGGGGTCCTCAGAAATCAAACTTTTCCTTGCTGTCATTGAGGGTGGGACAAAGGGAGCTCAGGTCTGGCATGGGTTTCTCTCAGGACTGGACCTTAGCCTAGTTATTCCCCAGAACTCACTCAAAATCCTGGTGGCTGGGTTCTGTGATGAGGATCCTGGACACTTCTGTTGTACCAGCCTTCACTTCTCCTTCCTCACCAAATGCTCAGCAGAGGAAAGCAGTGTTTTGGCTGGCACAGGAGAGGCAGGGGCAGAGTCTGCAGCTGTAAGGAGAGGTCATGGTTACACAACCCAAGTGTGGTAAAACCTCTGGCCAGCAGTTACTGGCAGTGCTGCGGAAGCTGCTGGAGAGCAGAAGAGACATCCCTGGGCTTCGTGCAAGATTGCACAGTGGTCAGCAGGGAGACAGCCTCCCCCAGCAGCCCTGCTTCCCCATTCTGGAAAAGGACCCACTGCTCTGACCCATCCCCCAGCACACATGAAGGAATGGGTGCTTAGGTGACCTTGACCTCATCTTGGCCTGCATTTGGTGTCCCTCTCTTGTCTGTCCTCCCTCCACTTGTGTGGTGCTTGTATTGTTGCTGTGAGTCTCTAGTGACAGCCTGAAAGCTTTCTCCTCACTGTTCTGGAGAGAACCTCCCCGAAGCCTTTTCTGGCCACAGCATCTCAGTAGTACCTGTAAGCTGGTGACAACAAAGATGCACAGTGAGATGGCTCCTGCTCATTTTGTTTTCTTTCCTTGTCCTCCTGCAAAAAGAGTCATTTTCCCCAAGAAATGGTGCCAAAGCCCTGGATGTGGATGGATAGCCAAAGCAGAGAGTAGGTGAGGGAAAATAATCTAGTGACAAAAAGTTAAAGCAACAGAAATATCAAACCCCACTCGAAAGCACAGCTTAGCAAAAAGGGAAGAATGTTTTGCCGCAGATATGTGGAAAATATAGCTTTGTAAATTATTCTGGGATATGTTTTTCTCCACTCTGGGCTTCTCCTCTTTCCACAGAAAGATAAAAGTATTAAAAAAAAAAAAAAAAAAAAAAAAAAGGAACAGGGAGATAAAATGTCAAATTTTCCATGCCTTGAAGATTCTCTGCCTCTCCCTACAACGCTCTCCAGGGCCTTGAGTTTCATATTCTCAACCCTTTGTTGCATGGAGGGAGGCATCAGCCCAAGATGGCTTAAGTGCTGCTCTTTGGGCTCTGATGTGTGGGCTCTGGATGGCACAGCCCTGAGCACAGCTGGTAGCCCAGGACACACAGCTGTGCCTTGGGCATCGCCTTCCTCCTCAGAAGAGCTGAGAGCAGGGGTGGATGAGGATGGGGGTGTGCTTCTGCTGGCTGTTACAGGGCCAGCGTCCATGGCAGGAGGATCACTGCTCCCTTATGATTAGTATTATCTGAATGAGGGTGTGTGTCCCTTTAAGATGTGAGGTTGGGTTAGTGACTGGGAAGGAAAGCAGAAGTGGAAGAATAGCCCTGGATAGGGGCTGGAAGGGGGTGCAGAGCCCCCCAGGCACAGATAGCCCTTTGCAATGTGTTTCCTGTCCTCCCTGAGGGCCTGACGTGGGGTGGCTGCACCACTTCTTCCCCAGCCCTGTAGCACTGATTCATTTTGCACTTCCCCCCACCCTAAATATAGGAGGTGACTCAAAGAACTCGCTGACAGGGCAAAACGGGGGAAAAATATTTCCCTCTGACACTAAGGCTGGAGTAGGACCCTGGTTCCCCTTTATTCAGCCAGCAGAGCAGGCATCTTCAAAGCAGAGATGCAAGAGAACTCTGGCTGGTTGTGATGCTGGTGTCTGCAGGACTGGGGTGTTGTATGAACAACTGCAGCTATGGGCTGTCATCAGCTCTTTAGCTTTTCCATGCCTCAGTTTCCTCTCCCAAATAGGAATAATAATGCTGTGTCATTTCATAATGTTTTGTTGGTGTCTGCGAGGAGAGATGGTCTGTGACTCCATGATACACATGAGGAGGTGTTCTTCAAAATCCAGTACTTGGCAACAAAAAGCCAGTTTTCCCAAATGATCTGCACTGACCTTCTGCTCTGCAGGAGCCATCCAGGTCTGTTCTAGCTCATCACAGCACAAAGAGCTCCATGCATCAAACTTGGCTTAAACTCCACCAAATGATGCTATGGGCTAACCCAGTTCATAGAGCAGCTCCAGCTCTGCCACAAAAGGAAAACTATTGTAAGGAGAGGCAAAAATCAGCAGGAACAATTGCCAAGCTGGCATTTGCCCTAATCAGCTCCAGATGATTGTTTTTCCTGTCCCAGTTGTCTAAGTGTTCAAATGGCAGGGAAGTGTGGAGGGTTATGTTTCTTCCCTGAAATTCATTCCTTGGAGAATCAGGCCATATGGGTCTGGTGGGACAAAGAATGGCTGAAGTGATGTGAGCCAAAAAGCCAGTCTGAATTTCAGCCTTTCCTGATGCTGAGCTACTCCATTCCCAGCAGGGTGAACTCCAACAGAGAACCTTTAGGGATCATTTTTGCATTCTCACTCTCTCTTTCCCTTGCAGGCTCAGCATCTCCAGTGATCAGCCCTGACCTCCCTGCTCTGGTTGTCAACAAAGGTGATCCAGTCCTCTTGCACTGCTCAGGAGAGTCTGAAGTTGCATGGAATAGCAAAATGAATAAATTCCATAACCACACTATCAGCACACTCAGTATTCCCGAGGCCAGTTACAGGAACACAGGCACCTACAGCTGTGGTTATGTCAACAGCAGTGACAAGGGCATTGCAGCCATCCACCTGTTTGTGCGAGGTAACCCTGCTTCTCTCTTCCCACTCCCACTGGCAGAGCAGCTTCCTTCCAGGGAGCCACTGCACAGCTCCTTTCTGCTGTGCTGTGCTTGTGTGGGTGCCTGGGGAGCCGTGCAGGCTCCTGGAGGAGCCACAGCCATGTGAGTCCACAAAAAATGGGGCCCATGGTTAAAGCACTGGGATAAAGTGTAGAACTACATCTCACATATATGTGGATGTCTCCCACCTTCTGCTGTGGCTTCCCTTGAAAAACAGTCTCTTCAATATTGTAATGAGCACTGAGAAAATCAGAGAACTGTATTGCCAGTATCTCAGATAAGGGAGAGAGTCATATGAATTACATCCTCCCTGTATGACCTGAAACCCAAATATTCTTTTATCCCAGAAGAAGCTATGCTGTGGTATCTCTACCACTTGGCTTCACCCCTTCCCTTGTACCAGAAGTGGAAGGTCTCATAAGTAAAAAAGCTGGAGGTCTCATAAGTAAAACTTTCACCACGGTGAAAAGTTCAATTAGAGATATGCATATTTTCAGCCTCTCTTTTCCGTGGACATTTGTGAGGTGGTTGCTGTGACCCCCTCAATGCCTTAGCTGGAGCTGGGTTTGTCATGTGAGTGTTTGGAGGTTGAGTCAGGCAGGAGCTGAGCAGGGCTGCCCCAACATCCAACTCCCACTGGGCAGCAGTGCTGGAGGCTTGCCCTTGCTGGAATGTGTTTCTCAGCTTCAGTGCATTTTCTGACCCCTCTCACAAGCCTGTCCTGTCTCCTCCACAGATCCTGGCAACGTGTGGTACGTCCCCTATTTCCGGGTCGGGGCAATTAAAGGCGGGAATGTTGATCTCCCCTGTCTCATCACGGCCCCCGAGTATGGATCCAGTGTGACTCTGATAATGGAAAATGCCCCTTCTCTCCCACCTGGGACCAACTACTCCTTCAGTGCTGAGAGAGGAGTAAGACTGTACAATGTACAAAACAGCCATAAAGGTTCTTACCGATGCCAAGCACAGATAAATGGAATAATAAGGAATTCATCAAAAATAAAACTGATTATAGAAGAAGGTAAAGAAGATTGTTGCTGTCCTAACGGCCACAAACAGCTAAGCTGGCCACAGTAGATAGTTAAGGAAAAGCTCCTTTCCAGTGGCAGGAAAAACCTTTTGAACCTGCAGTTTCAAAAGGTTGTTTAAAGGAGGCCAAATTCCATCAGCCTCTGGCAAATTGTTTCCTTCAGATGGGTTTGCATAGGTTCAGCAGTCTTCAAATCTTGGCAGGCACTGTCACAGATCAGAGAAAAATGTCCACCAATCTCTCCAATGTTCTGCAAGCCCTTGGACCCCGATGCTCCATCTGTGACCACGGCAAAAGCTCCTCCTTCCTTTTCAACCCACAGCCCTGACTGCTGTGTTCTCCCCACCTGTACTGCTTCCCACAGACTCGTGCTCAAACAGGAGTGGTGATCTCTAGGGAAGGGGTAGGCGGGGGGTAAAGAGGCTAAAGAGGATGGAAAGGAGGAGGTAGAATCATGGAATAGAGTCATAAAATAATTTGGGTGGGAAGAGACCTTGAAAATCATCTAGTTCCAAGCTCACTGCCACAGGCAGGGATGATCTACCTGCAAATCAGGTTGTTCGGGCCCCACCAAACCTGGCCTTGAACACTTCAGGATGGGGCATCCACAACTTCTCTGGGCAACCTGTGCCTCGCCACCCAAGGTAGCCAGGTCCTGGGGAGTCTCCAAAGCACAGGGGATCACTGGAGAAGCTGACACTGGATCTTTCCCTGCTTGCCTTTGTGCAGCACTGGTGAAGCCTGTGTCAGTGATGATGGACCCCGCAGACCATGTGCGGATCGTGGGAGAACCTTTCCAAGTCACCTGCAGAGTGACTGCTCCTTCCCACAAGTATGACATCAGATGGGAGACAGCAGCAAAGACAGTAAGTTGGGGTGTGGGGTTTTCCTGGAAAATGGGGACACAGGGTGGTAAGAACTGCCCAGACCGATAGCAAAACTTTGAACTACCCAACCAAAGCAGCTATTCAAGCTGCAGAAATTTGAATATCCTTTCTTTGGGATGGCACAGGATAAACACCTGCCTGTTGTCAGAACAGTTCTGCAAGGCATAAGAATATGTTGTTTCAGCTGAGTTTATTGGACAAGAGCCATAGTACCTATTAAAGCAACATTTCTTCACCCAGCCCTGCCAGGGCTTATAAAGCAGCAAACATTTTCAGGACAGAGTTCTCCAGAGAAAAGATATGTCTGAAGAAAAGGAATACATTTCAAAATCTCTATGATGCTGACTTCTAACTGCTAAATGGTTAGATAAGGTTTGCTAGAAGTCCTTATTATAACTGATGCCTTTATTAAGGAGATGAAACCACACACAAGGTATGTTTGGGTCACACAGTGTAAGGCCAAGCTGCAGACACAAGGCTGACCATAGCTATAACCTAACTGCTGTGGAATATCTGCTCTGGGTCCTTGGGTTTAATGTTCCTCTGGGTCTCCACACAGGTTGCTCTCAGTGATGCTCTCTAGCCCAGAGCAGGCGAGATGTGTTTGCTCTGCCCTTCTAATTTGTGCTGTTGCCTGTTCTCTGCCTGACAGGTGAAGAGAACTAAAATGGCTGGCTTAGAAAATGATAACTACTTCATCAATGACACCCTGTCCGTTGCAGCCGTGACCATGGAAGACAGTGGGAAGTACACCTGTATAGCTAACAATTCAGCAGGATCCAGGAATGCCTCAACAACGCTTCAGGTAGTAGGTGAGTACTTCTCCAAAAGCCTAGTAGGGCTGAATAATATGTAGCCATGAGTATTTGCTGCTTCTACCTCCATTCTCTTCCAAGATTTGTTGTTGAAAACATAACTCTCACTTGTGCCTGAGGGCTTACATGAGAACTGTGGAGCTTCTGGGAAAGGAACTGGTTCTCTCTTCATATCTGGAGGAGCCAGAGGACATGTTTTGGGCTCTAGGTGAAAAACTGGTGTGCTCTTCTCAGTCTCTGTGCATTTCTAAACAGCTTTGGAACAGTAAAAAAGGGAATGGGGCAAGGTTGTGCTGGAAGACCAGGAAAGGCTGGTTAGAAGGAAGGGCGAGCCACATGAGCAGAGTATGGATCTGGTCTCTTCCACCCACAGATCCACACAAGGGGATTCAGGTCTAATACACACTTGTTTGTATCTCAAGATGGAAAATTCATCCTTACAGCTCACAGGCTGGAGTTTGCTGATGATTCAAAGCTGCTGAACACCACAGGTCAGAAAGAAGGCTCAGCCTGAGTTATCTCGTAGTGAGAAGCCAGGATTTTAGCTAAAGGGCATATCTTTTCTAAACAATTAGGAAATGCTGTTCTCACCTCATCACTTCTTAGGAAACAGCATGTATAACTTCTTTCCTTACAAGACTTCACTAAGATTTTCTAGCTCTCCTCAGGCAGTGTAATCTAAGGTGCCATGACAAAGAAGTAATTTAAGAGTACTCCTTTGGGAACATACCTGTGTAATGTTTCATTCCCTCCTGCAGTCTCCCAGCTGAGGCTGCTCTTTCCAATTATGATCCATTTATGGAGTTGGTGTAAGTTATTCCAGATCTCTGGACATGCCTGCTGACAGTCATGCTCTCCTCCACCCTGCAGAGAGAGGTTACGTGCACCTGATCCCAGGCCAAGCCACCAGCATGGAGGTTGCTCTGGGAGAGAGTGTGGAGCTGCAGGTCCACATTAAGGCTTACCCAAAACTTCTCCAGTGGGCTTGGGAACACAGGAATCCCTTGAAGGACTCTAAACCCACCATATTCAAGGGTGAAATGATCTCTGGAAACAACTGGTACGTTCTCTTTGTCTTCTACGCTGGCTATGGCATGTTTCCAAGAGAGCTTTCCTTGAGACAGGCCCATTCTACAGAAAACTCTCTGGTTTAAAAGAGGGAAACTGTTCTGCATTTCTGTTTTCTCTTTCCAGTATTATTAGCAAACCACAGTATGATCAGATCAAGGAGGACACCACCCTTCTCTAAACTGGTGGCCTTCTCTTTAAAAAGCCTTGTGATCTGCTTATTCGATTCTGCACTCTCCTTGCCACAAGAAATTGCAGGAGTGGATGAATAGTACAAAAAGCTTAATTCCCTCACTGGTCCTTGGACCCATCCCCTGCTCTGAAGTTGAAAGAGTGTGCACTGAGAGGCACTGAGAGCCCCATGTCACAAACATTGTGTGAACATGATCTAACAGAGGTTACAGGTCTGCTCTTCCAAAGCCTACAGACAACTGAGACTGAGGGGAGACTGAAAGAAAATCATTCCATTTGTTGGGGGTTTGGGCAATTCCCCTTTCATTTCCTTAGAAACAAAAAACAATCCACAAGAGGAACTGTGCCACTTGACAAAAATTATGGCTTTAGGGAGAACTCTTTCTTGCACTGGGGGCTGAGAAATGGGCTGGGGGCAGAGATGAGTGGGCACTAAGGAGTACAACTTCATGGAGAAACTCATTCTGCCAAAGGCAGGAGGACCAGCATCCCCTGACCCTTGAAAGGCAATGATTTAGATGTTAAATTATTTCTGAGCATTCACCCACCTGTAGCCTTTCAGAAGTGCTTAAGTGCACTTGGTAGCAAAAGGTATTTCCCCTAAAGAAGATCAGTTCTTCTCTATTTCCCCCGAAGAAGCAGCTGGCGAGCTCCCTGATGGGCTGGGATAAGTGCTGGAAGTGTTCACTGCTCCAGAGCACAGGATGCAGCAGTATCTCACTGAGCAGGGCCTGTGTGCTCTTCACAGTGTTTCTCTCTGTGAGCAGGTACAACACCACACTCTCCCTGCACCGCCTGAAGGAAGGAGAGGAAGGGTTCTACACATTTTATGCCTTCCACAGCGTGACCAATGAATCAGTTACCTTCAGTATCTTTCTGAAATGTAAGTGCTTGTCCATTCTTTCACCCTGCTTGCCCTTGGGACTGCTTCCCAGTTGGAAAAAATAGTTGGTTGGGATACCAGGCTGCTTCCAGCTCAGCACACACAGGACACACAGACCCAGCCCAAACCTGCCTGCAGCACAGGGGTTCCTTCTGGTTTATTGTTGCACGCATGGAAAGGAAACCAGAGCATGGGGGATGTGCTCTTCCTCTGGTCACAGCATTCACTGTTTTTGTGACTTCCCCAACAGCCTCTCCAAAGGCCTGCAAAATCAAGGTGCCAGCCGATGACTCCAGCACCCTTCAGTGCGTGGCCGTGGGGTACCCTGCCCCACGCATCGAGTGGTACCAGTGCCCCGTCCACTCGGACAGGTGAGAGCTGCCCAGGGGCCTGAGCACCTCCAGGCTGTGCCCCTGCCCTTGCCACGCTGCCATTCACTGGGCAGCACCACATGGGCTCCTGGGCAGCAAAACAGCACAGCCTGCCCAGTAACAGCTACAGAGATGCTCCTCTGCTGGAAAAAGAGGTTCCTGGGGTCTGCCTGAGAAGAGGAGGCACTTTCTATTCCCAAAGTCCTGAGCTTGAAGAGATTGTCCACTTGTGATTCATGTTCTCCCCATGCTTTTCAAAGGAACAAGTGGATCCTTTGGAGAGGTGCCCTGGTGTATGGTGCTGTAGAGGTACATCCTAGCTGGCTCAGTCATCTTTTTGCGACTTCCACAGGTCTGAGGCAATACAGAGCATTAATTTACTTGAGCTACAGAGTCATGGGAAGCAACTGCAGCTGCCTGGACAGGGCTGTTGTGTCTCAGGACCAGCCCCACTGAAGGGACCGATGGCAGAACACATAACACTGTTAATTATTAGTGCTGAGCCACATAAAGGCAGTCATGGCCCTGTCTATACACGGCTGTGGTGTTCAGGGCAAGATCTTTAATTTGGCATAGAAAAACACATCTCACAGAGTTGCAATCCTAATTCTCTGTGTCTCCTGTCTAGTCTGGCATAGGCCCCCCTCAGCTGTGAGCTGCTGTGCTGCAGAGCAGCACTGACTGTCTCCTCTTGCCATCCCTGCAGGTACAGCGAGGACTACAGGCTGATACGGAATGACTCCAGACCTCAGGTGGTGAATATGTTGCCTTTCCAAGAGGTGGAGGTGGAGAGCATCATCCTCTTTGAGGAGCTGGGTGACAATTTCACCTTCTGCTGCGTGGCCATTAACGGGGAAGGGAACACCTCTGACATGTTTCACTCACTCACCATCACCAGTAAGATACAAACCATCAGCTTGGCAGAGTGGGGGAGAATCTGGGGGCTTTGAGATTACATCCTTTATGTATATCCCCACTGTCTCACAAGAGAGCTGGAACAGATTCCACAGGCCCTTTGCCCTCACAGCTGTGAGGCTTTGACATTTGCCAGTCCTGGGAGGCATGTGGGAATTCCTGGCTGGGTTACAGTCTGGAGCCAAAGGCTGAGCCACACCATGAGCATCTTATAACAGCAGGACACAGCTCCAGGGCATGGTGCATCCAGCAGTTTCTCAGCCCAAAAAATACCGGGGCTGCATCTTTTGGTGGGGCTGTTCTTGCTGCACAGAATTTGGTCCCCAGTCAGTCTGACCTGCACCTGGTGCTGTTTATGCAGAAATAGGAGGGTATGAGGAAAACCATTCCAGCCTAAAGTTTGGCATCAAGACCTTCCCTCAGCTCCCAAAAGGGTGTGCTGAGGGCAATGCTGGGGTGTGTGGCATACAGCAGAATCCAAAGTGAATAGCTGGGCAAAATGCTCCCAGATTTGTGATTGAACTAAGAGTGCTTATTCATTCTCCTTTTTTTCCTCTTCCAGGGAATGTCATGGCCCTTCCAAACAAGCTCTTCAGCCCTGTTCTCTCCACCTGCATAGGCACATTGGTGCTGCTGCTCCTCCTGCTCCTCTTCCTACTCTACAAGTACAACCAGGTGAAATTCCCTGTTCAGGGCAAGGGCTGCGAGGGCTGCCCAGCCTCAGGGGCCACACAGCCTCTGCTGGCAGTCAGGCCAGGGACCATTCAGCTTGGAGGTACCACGAAGCTGCCTCCTGCACCTCCCCTGCCTCCCAGATTCCATCTGGAGTTTCCTGCTGCAGAGCAAAGCTCATGCACCCAATTCAGTGTATAAATACCTCCCCTGCCCTGGTCCTTCAGTCTTGTAGCCCACAGGTCAGTGTGGTTATTGTTTGGTGTCAGACAAAGGTGCTCACTCTGTGCTGTCAGATGCAGCTGGTTTTGCTCTGGTCCCCACAAATCCATGGACTGAATTAAGGGAGGAAAAAAAAAAAAGTGGTTTACAGTTTGCATCTACTTTTTATTCTCCTCACTGCTTTATAAAGAACTGTTTTATGGAGAAACAGGATGGTGTTAAAAGAAGTTTGTTTTCAGGAAGATTTGGTCACTATTTTTATATAAGAACTTGCCCCATTTTCTCTGCAAGGCTCATTTCCAGCTTTTGGATTCCTTCTCTGTTTTTTCCACAAACTGAACCAATCAGTAGCCACCTCTACTTCATCAGTGGGTGAAAATCGCCTGTTTTTCATCTCTCCCTTTTGGCACCCTTCCTTTGACAGCCTAGCAAGGCTGAAGATTTTGCAGCAAAGTTCTGATTCTGGTTGTCAGAAGATCCATCAGAGCCCTCGCTCAGACAGGCACCTGCAGCTTAGCAGGCAGAGCTGCCTTTGGACAGTGGTTCAGAGACAGAGAAAGATGGATCAATGTGTAAGCACAGGTCTGAAATAAATAGCTTTTTGGAAGGGCTTGCAAGGCCAAGAGAAGCAGGACATGTCTATAAATGACATGGTTACCTATCTCACACAAGTACCAGCCTTCTCTGCTCAAGGAGTTCAGCACTGCTTCTCTGCCTTGCCCAGTTACTTCTGCCATGACATTCTTGGAAAAGAGAAATTCTTACTTCTCTTTCTCCTTTTTTACCCCTGTAAGGGAAGTGGGGGTGGACCAGCTCCACTGTTCTGCTGTGCTCAGCAACCAGGGGTCCAAGGAAGGAGACACAGTGGGGACATCTCCCTCCAGCACCAGCTGGGCACTGTCAGCCACTGCTCTGGTGGGACATGCTGGAACTCCCAGCTCTGCCATCCCAAATGATGGCAACAGGCTGCTTCCAGTGGCAAGAGAGCTTCCCTCAGTCATAGGTGATGACTTGGGGGGGCTTCATAACTGCAGAGAGTCCAGGCTGTCCAGAAAAAGCCTCTCTTGCTCAGTCCAGATTCAAAAGATATTTGATGGGCTGAAATCTGTATCTTCCCCCTGCACCTGCAGAGTGAGCTTGAGTGGATGCTGGGGCTGGGGAGCCCTGCCAGCTTGAGAAACATGGAGTAACTGGAGTCTCTTCCTTGCAGAAACCCAAGTACCAGGTGCGGTGGAAGATCATCGAGGCCTGTGAAGGCAATAATTACATCTTTATCGATCCCACTCAGCTGCCATACAATGAAAAATGGGAGTTTCCAAGGAACAACCTCCAGTTTGGTAAGAAACCTTCCCTGCTGCTTGCCTGGTGGCACGAAGCTCATCAGAGAGCTGAAATGCTTCAAGAGTCAGAGCCAAAGCTCTGGATGATATCCTAAGCTGCATCCAGACATTCCAGCAGCATCCTTAACCAGGCCTTGCTGCTCTCTTCCACATAGGAGTGGTAGGGTGTAGCCTGCCTCCCTCCTCCTTTGCTCCAAGGAAGGCTGCAGGGGTCACGTCCCTCCTCTTGCATGTGGGGTCATTCCTAAGGCACAGACTTGGTGAGGCAAGGTTTGGAGATGGCCTCTTTCACACCCTCTTTGCTCACAGTGGAGTTCCACACAGATGTTTGCCAGCTCTTGACTAAGGGATGTGTCATCTTGTGTGAGCCCAGCAGGCATCCCCATCCACCAGACATCCTCCTTGAGGCCGTGTGCAGGACAGCTGCTCAGTCTTTCTCTATCAAATGTCTTAAAAGTACATTTTTTTTTTCTCTCTGCAGGAAAAACTCTTGGAGCAGGAGCCTTTGGAAAAGTGGTAGAAGCCACAGCTTTTGGGCTGGGCAAAGAAGATTCGGTGCTCAAAGTGGCTGTGAAGATGTTAAAGTGTGAGCACAGAGAAACTTGCAAGGGTTGAAATCCTCCAGGCTCCTCTGGGCAGGATGTAGAGTGTGTTCACCACATGTTGGTGCTCACAGGCTGCAGCAGCTACTTTTAAAAGTTGTTTCCGTGCCAAGTACCAGATGCTGGAATCACACTACTGCCTTTTTTTGTGGACAGGGGAGGCCAGAGGCACAGTTAGAGGACATAGTTTTCACTCTAAGTGTGTTTCCTCCTTTTGTCCCGTAACTCTGTCTACACCTTTTTCTGTCCTCTCCCTTAATTTCCACTTTGTCCCTCAGTCCTTCACACAGCCCGTCTCTCACCCCACAGCTTCAGCAGACAGGGATGAGCAGGAGGCTCTCATGTCTGAGCTGAAGATCATGAGTCACTTGGGACACCACGAGAACATTGTTAACCTGCTGGGGGCATGCACCTGCGGAGGTAGGATCCCCCAGACCCCTGACAGGGCCCCTCCTCTGAGGCACAGGGTGGATTCTGCTGCCCTCCCAGGGAAAGCAATCCTCAGGTCACAGTAACAGCATTCCTTAATGAACGCTTTCTGCTGCTCTCCCAGGCCCAATCCTTGTCATCACCGAGTACTGTCGCTATGGAGATCTGCTGAATTTCCTGAGGAAGAAGACTGAATCTATAATTATTCAGGATTCTGCCCTGGACACCTCTATAGACAGTGCTGCTGATTACAAAAACATTGAGCTAGAGAAAAAATACATCCGCAGGTAGGAGCAGAGCTCGGGTGGCTGCAGGGCTGAGCAATGCAGGGCCTGGGTACTCACTGGGAAAAGTGTGAAGAGCACTGTGCTGGGGAGAGATCAAAGTCATAGATCAATATATCAGGATGTAAAAGCCAGTGGAGTTGCATGTATTCAGACCTGGTTATAATTCCAAGTTTTTCAAGGACTTTGACAGCAGTCATTGAACATCCCACAATAAATGCAGGTTTTAGCCCTTTCTGTCCTTCCACAATTCAGAAAAAAACCTTTTGGCTTCCTGAATTACGCATTTGGTAGGATGGAGCTGACTGCTCCCTATCACCCTTAAAAAGGGGAACGGTACAGCCCCATAGCACAGAGGGCCGAGGCCCCCTTTCTGAATCAGTTTTGAGTTTGCCTTTGCCCCCAAGCCCCTAAGTCACCTTCTGCAGGCAGGCGTGTGCTTTCTCCTCTTGGTGGACCTGAAACAGGGCAGAAGGTACCTGCTGGAGGGTTCTAACAGCCTGCCCCCCTCTCTGTTGCTTCTCACTCAGTGACAGTGGCTTTTCAAGCCAGGGTTTGGAAACGTATGTTGAAATGAGGCCTGTGTCATCATCAGCAGCAGCAGCATCAGATTCTGCGCAAGCCAGGGGTGAGTCAAAGGCTCATTTCTGTGATTTTGTGATTTCTTTCTTTTGGCCATCCTGTCTGGTTTAGCTCTGGGAACCACAACATGCCACAGTTTGCATTACTCACCAGCTTTGCAGCAAATCTAAATCTCTGCTTTGAATTTCAGGAAGAAGCTTGGAGGAAGATGAAGCCAGGGAGGATCTCCGTCCCCTCAATCTCTCTGACCTGCTACAGTTCTCCAGCCAGGTGGCCCAGGGCATGGCGTTCCTCGCATCAAAGAACGTGAGTGCCAAGAGGACCACTGCCCCCAGCACACTGAGTGGGCAACACCAGTCCAGCCAAGCAGGAGCCACCCATCCTGGCTGCAGAAGTCTTGGGATGTCTTTGGATGGGGTGGCCAAGCTCAAGCAAACTGCTGAAGGACATGAGCCTCTCTGCTCTGTCTGTTGGCTCAGACAGGCTGGGCCCTTGTCTCCCATGGCCATCATGGGAGGGCAGTGTTACAGGGGGACCCCAGGCTCTGCACCATGCTAGTCTGAACATTTTCTCCCCTGCTTTTACACGAGGTCAGGACCTTTGTTGTGAAGCTTTCTCGCTTTGGCAGCGTCCCTGCTGCCCTAGGGACAAGGAACTGAAAGTGGCTGTTGAGCTGACTGCCAGAGCTGGCTCAGAGCATGACAGTCACCCTCAGGGATGAGGACAGTGTCAACAGCCCCTGGTTCTGACCCTCCCACTGTGGGGAAGATGACGGTCCCATGAGTGATTAAAGACCAGAGCATGACATGTCACAGTGTCTTAACACTGCAAATGAAGGGCTTGAAAGAGAGCTCCAAACATGGAGTTTGTACATGACATGATGCCTCAGACAGGGCTCTTCCAGCAGTTCATGTTTCCCTTGCCCCTACAAGCGTTCTTTTGGTGGCAGGCCTAGGCTGCAGGGAATTTTTTGGAACTGCTGGGGGCCAGTGACTGACTCTCAGTTGTGGTGTCTTCTCCCCAGTGCATCCACCGTGACCTAGCAGCCAGGAATGTGCTCATATCAGATGGACGGGTAGCCAAGATCTGTGACTTTGGCCTGGCCCGGGACATCATGAATGATTCCAATTATGTTGTAAAAGGCAATGTAAGTAATTAAAATGGGTGCAAGAGAAGGTACAAGGGTAGGGGTAGGAGGGGCTGGAGCAGGAGGGACAGACAGGGTGTAGCATAAGCTGCCAGCTTGTACCAGTCTGCAGGACTCTCTGCTCTTCCAGGCCCGCCTGCCCGTGAAATGGATGGCCCCAGAGAGCATCTTTGACTGCATTTACACAGTGCAGAGTGATGTGTGGTCTTACGGCATCCTGCTCTGGGAGATCTTCTCCCTCGGTAAGAAAGAAGCGAGCCTGCAAACCTCTTTTGTTTCCCATGGCTCACTACCACCCTAATGTATCTGCAGAAAAATTTCCAAGGAAGGAGGAAGGTTGACAAAAATTTATGTTTATCAGGGCTGTAAAACACTGTGTTATGTTTCCAGAGGGACCATTCAAAACAAAGAATTCCACACCATTTTCTCTAACTCAGACCTCCCTGGTGATGCTCCAGGCTGCCTCTTCCCACCCCTCAAGGCTGGAGTGTTGAACACTGTGGTCTGAAAGCCACCTCTACTCCTTTTACACAGGGAAGAGCCCCTATCCTGGCATGGTGGTGAACAGCAAGTTCTACAGCATGGTGAAGCAGGGATACCAGATGGCCAGGCCTGACTTCGCTCCCTTGGAGATGTGAGTGGATGCACTGAGATTCACACAGCAGCGACAGCGGGGCTGGAGCTGCCTGATGGCAACATGGCCATGGCACAGGGACCTTGTCCACAGCTCTGCCTGCTGCTCCCACGTGTCTGCCTTGAGGTTAAGGATGGATCCTACCAAGCTGCTCCTTTAGGAAAACAAGGCCTGGGGCAGTCTATTCAGCATCCTCTGTTTAGGGACAGGAGGATAAGAGCATTCACATTACACTGAACTTGCTGGGGTTTTATTCTTTTAATTAGCTTCTTTTGACTCTATGATTATGAGAAGACAAGCCTAAGTAGGCTACAGGATGTAATGAGTGTAAGCCTGAAGTCTTGAAGGCATAAAGCTTCTTGGTGATTAGTTTGCTCCATCCACTCCAGTGCTCACCATTCCCCAGAGCACTGCACTCACCATGTTTTTGGAAGAAGACAAGGGACTGCTCAGTACTGTGTCCCTGACAACAGTGCTGCAGGGAAGAGCCCAGGGCTGCAGACCCTCCAGCAGCACCATGCAACCTCCCTGTCCCTGTCTGGCCCCGCAGGTACAGCATCATGCAGGCATGCTGGAGCCTGGAGCCCACACGGAGACCCACCTTCGACCAGATTGGCTGCTTCATCCAGAAAGAGCTGGAGCTGCATAAGGAGCAGGTGAGAACCTCTGGAGAGGACAAGGGGGATGTCTTTCCCTCTATATGAACACACCTTCTGGACATGTTTTCTTTTATATCCCTTATCATTAGCTGATTGGAGCAGTGTAGTGCTGGTGGGAAGTGCAAAGAGGCATCCAGCTGAAGGTTAAGTCACCACAGCCAAAGAGGGCTGGACAAGGAAGCACAGCTTCTTGTCAGAAACCTCAGTGTGACAGGCAGTCAAACACTACCAGCACAGCCCTGCCCCGTTCCCCTGGACTTGCTGTGCCTTCTCTCAGGACTAGCTGTCCACAAAGCACAGACACATGCCTGCCCTACCTGCTAGCCACGCCCTGTGGGCACAGCAAAGGGTGGAAATGTGGAAGGAGCATATCCCCAGCTGGTCACCCACACAGGAGCAAGTGTCATACATCAAAGGGACCAAAATACACTCAGGCTGTTGTGTTTCTTCCTTTTCTTTCAAGGACTACACCAACCTCCCCTCCAGTGCTGAGGAAGACAGTGGCTGTGACACCTCTGGCTGCTGTGAGGAGTCCTGCGAGCAAGAGGAGAGCGGGCAGCCGCTTCTCAAGGGCAACAACTACCAGTTCTGTTAGGTGGGACCTTCACCCTGGGGCTGGTCCTTGTCCTGGCTCCACAGAGCTCACCCTAGGACACAGACACCTTCTGTTTTGGCCTCCTCTGTGCTTTCTGAAGTGAGTGTTATGGACTCTCTCACCAAAAGGCGAGCGAAGGAGTCACCTTGGAGTCCCTGAAGTCTTCTCTCACACACAGCACAGAGCTGTTAGGATGGTAACAGGCTCCATCTCTACAAGGTACAGAGGGCCCCAGCAGCTGCCTCCCCATGCCCCAGAGAAGGCTGTGGGAGTTTGGGTTTTGTAGTTTTTTAAAAAAATACTAGTCACAGCCAAGTAAAACATTTCCAAGTGTCACTCACATTACTGAACCCTTGAGTTTTCTAAGCACATCTTGAAATATGTCTTGGCACTGGAACCACTCCACACACTCCCTTTTTTGATGGTTCTGCTCTCTTCCCTTTGTCACTAAGAACCTGGACAGTGCAGTGTGTTTAGAAATAGGTAAAGCTTCGACACAGCATTAAATATGGATTACCCCTACACTTCCTTGTGCAATCCACCTCTCTGCAGCTGATGCTTCTGCAGGGAGTGTTTGGGTGAAGTGAGCCACAGAGCCAACCCCAGGGTTATGTGAACTTGTGCCTCACTAACAGGACAGAAGGACAGTTCTTTCTCAGGTAAAATACAGCAGAAAACAGCACTCTTCCATGAGAGGAGCACTGAACACAATCCCAATCCAAGAAAGAATGGCAGCTTAATGAGGTCTAGAAATTATCAACATTACACACATCCTACAGAACTTCTGAGTTACTGAGCATGTAGCAATCACTGCCCTTTGTCACTATTACAGACTTGTACTAAATTTCCTTAATGTACTTTTAATAGTACAGCTGAGATGATTTTTTCATAAGCTAGGTCCTAATACACTTCAACCTATTTCTCAGCTAGCTCTTGCTCAGGGTTACTACTGCCCTGGCCACCCAGTCCTGTGTACCCACCAGAAGTAGCTAAAGAACTTTCTCAGCTTCACCTGACTCAGTGGGTAAAGGATCTCTATTCCAGGTACAGGCAAACTGCAACTGACAGGGCTCAGGGAAACTACAGCTGCACTGCAGGTGGCCTTTGTCACACTCTGAGCAATTTCATAGTGGGCCATTTCTGATTCTATTAAACCTGGTTTTATGCTAACACCAAGTGATTCATTCCTCCTTACTAAATGAAAAGCTAATGTAACTCTGTCAGCATTATAAAAAATGAAGTATGTTTAACAAAATTAGTCTCTCCTAGGGCTCTAAGGACTGTTCTCAGAGTGGAACTGCTCAGAGCCCGAGTAATGCACTGGCCTACCCCCCTGCAACTCTGTTTCTCAGTACCAGTTCTCAAAACCATTCATTATTGTGTAGCACAAAAACTTATTAAAAGCAAGGTTTTAAAGCTCTGAAGTAGTCCCTGTGTCTGGATATAATGGAATGTAATTTCAGTTGTGATGATGGGACATCTGACAAGTCATCATGTGGCACATGGCAGCAGTCTCTGGGACACGTGCAATACCAAAGGCAGGGCAAATACAGAAAAGATTCAGCAGTGTTTGTGCCTTTTCTCCTGAAGCCATCCGGGTCTTGTACACAAAAAAAAAAAAAAAAAAAAAAAAAAAACAAACCACAAAAAACAACCCAAGTCACTTGACCACAGTTTCACCCCCAAAATTGGAGATAATTTATTAAACTTTATCACTGACTGAAAAAAGTCACTAATGTCTCTTATAATAAGTTAATGTTCTTAACAGAAAAACCCCAAGCCATGATTACTGCATTTGCTCAGACTTAATACATTTACTTTAACAGTACGGTACTCAATAGTTTCCCCTTCACAGAAGGGAGTTTTCAACCACACCGCAAGCCTCAGAATCTTCCCCACTGCTCACTCAGACAAAATAAATTCCCAAGATGGCAACTTAGCAGTCTGGCATCCTGCTTGTCTCCTCTGCAGGTCACAGCAGACACCAAACACCTTCACCACCAGCCATGGGCAAAGGGAGCTGCAGCAATGACAGCTCAGCTTTGCACCCACAGCCCCAGGTGTTCTTCAGGTGTGCTGCAGAGGCAGAGGTCTCATCCTGACTCCTCTCAAGGGGCTGACAAAGCAACCTGGGCAGCAGGAGACTCCTCTATAACCCCCAGAGAGCTGTGAGAACATGGGCAGGGCAGGTGTGACACCTGACAAAGTGATGAGATTGCACACGTCGATGCAGCTCTCCCAGCATGTCCATGAGGGTGGAATACAGAACCCTGCTCACTCTGGTGGTACTGCATACATCATTCCTCCTTGATCCCACAGACAGTGTTTGAGTGTCCCTCCCCTCTCCACAGCCACCCTTTGCACAGCACTTAAATCATCCTCCAACCCCTCAGCTGCCCTGGGGCACAGTTCTTACCTTACCATACAGAACACACTCCTCTCACTGTACCTTCTGGCTTCTAAGTTATTAGTGCTCATGTAAAGGGACAAACAGTTCTAGAAACTCCCTGAAGCCAAAGCACCGACAATCCTGGACCAGGAGTGCAGCCTCCAGGGAGGCTCCCCAGATACAGCATGTTAAAGCAGCTCCTCCTCCTCAAGACTCCCTGCAGCCAATGCCTGAGAGCTCTGCAAGTTTACCAAGCAGGAGTCAGTATCCTAAATTCACCTATTCAGAATGTTTTGGGGGAAATTGTTGTAGCCATCTACCATTTTTGCCTGGTCCCACACCCCCAGCCCTGCCACCAATAAGCACAAAGAAGTCAGCAAGCAAGATTCAGAATTAAAAAACCTGTGTGTGCTTGACCACGCACACTCCCTGCTACCAACAACTCCTCTCCCCTCTCCAGCTGCAGGGAGGGCAACATCCCACAGCCCTGAACAGCAGGTGCATCACATGCCTTGCAGGCAGTTGCAGCCTTCTGCAAGGGGGTGACAGACCCATGCTCGCAGCAGCTATCACGATGCTATGGAAGCACAGAGCTCTTTGGTCAGTAACAGCAGTCAAAGCCACCAGCATCACATCTCCAACCTGTGGAGGTCGATAAAATAAAAAATAAACTCTCAAGCCAGACAGCGGCAAAAGCTGGCTCAGCCCACCCATCCACACGACCAGAGAGAAAACCCAACAAGCTGTTTTGCTACTCAGCAACCTCTATCCTCCTCCTGCTTCCCCTCCTCATCCTCTTCCATTTCTGTTTTGATCTGGGCCACCCCGAGCCGGTAGAGCGCATCACGGATCACCACCTCCCCGGGCTGGCAGCTCTGCACGATCTCCTGGATCTGCCTGTTCACGATTTCCCTGCTGGTGAGGAAGTCCATGAGGCGGTTGTAGAGGTAATAGTGCATGGGGTTCTCGAAGGTGATGGGCCGCTGGCGCACGTTGCTGGTTTTGCTGTCGCTGATGGCGGCGGCGATGGCTCCGTACGGCTCCAGCTCGCGGCACAGGGAGATGCAGCGGTGCCGCGCCGTGGGGTCCCAGGGGCTGCTCTGCTCCGAGCCCGCGTGCACGATCCGGCGCGCCGAGGACTTGGTGATGGGGTGCTGGAGGGAGTGCTCAGCCACCGTCACGTCTACGCTGTAGTGCTGGTCCAGCAGCTCAGGGCAGGACACGTACTGAGGGAGAGACACACGCACGCCAGGTGGAACAACAAGTAACATCCCTGCAGCTGAGAAGGCAAAACTACTGGCTGGCCAAACTTCAACCAACACTGTGACCCAGATCAGAGGGAAGGCTAATTGATCCAGGCTTCCCCTACATGCCACAAAGATGATATGTACACTCCCTCCTCGCTTGTATGCCCTCAGATAATCCCAAGGCATCAGGAACAATCTTTCTCTCTCACTTCCCAAGGAATAGCAGTAGTCTGAAAGAAGCGAGTTCCTGTGTCAAAATAAGTGAAGTGCTCCAAAGTTCATGATCTGAACTGTTACAATGCACTCCTAGCACAGCTCTTCCTCTTAAGGACAACTAATCAAACACAAACCCCAGTCAACACCTAATACATTCTGCTAAGCTTAGGAGTGATGCACGGGCAAAGCTTAAATCAGGAGATACTTATAAGGTCAAATTCACCCTTGGCAGGGTTCAAGACCAGGTTGGATGGGGCTGTAAGAAACCTGGCCTAATAAAGGTGACCCTGCCTGTGGCAGGAGGGTGAACTGGATGAGCTTTAAGGACCCTTCCAACCCGAACCATTCTGTGATTCTACGGATCTATCCCAAGCCACAATGTACGGGGGGAGAGGGGTGTTTATTTTAATCTCCTTTGCAGCTTTTCTATACTAGGCTGACACAGCAGAGAGCAAAAACATAACTAACCGTTGGAGGTTCCATGGGGTCAGAGAAGCAGCCCTGGTTCTTCCCCCACATCTGGGAAGTCAGGCCAGGCCAGCAGAGGTCTGCACATAGCGCCACTGAAGAGGCTGAATCAACAACATACACTGGAGGCCAATGACGTGAGGATACCAACAAGTCCACGTGATCCCGAGCATTTTCTCCTCTTACTATGTACTTTGAGCCACACACAACCTAGAAAAAAGAAAGGACTGACAGCAGCAGCACAATAAAACAAAAAACTTACACAAAAAAATCTAGTCTTAAAAACATTCAGCTTCCTTTCAGTAGCCAGAAAGTACTTTCTCTAAAGGTACTCTATTTCCTCATACACATTCACCTTGTCTTGGGGAATTTTTCAAGCCCTGAGGAACATGTTTCATTCCCAAGGCTCAGAGAAGCCCATTCCATTGCTTCTATTCAATAAGGAAGTTCCATGCTGTTAAGTCAAATAATAAACAGCCAAGGAAGCAAAGAAACATTGTGGCTCCAGTCTTCCCTACCTGATGTGGACACACTTTGTAGATTTTCCCTCCTGTGTGATGAGCAGAAGGTGGTGTAATGCTTGTCCCATTCTGTACAAACTCATAGAGAGCAAGGAGGGAGTAGCAGAGCTCGTCCTAGAAAAGACAGGCCCCAGAGAAAGTGACTAAAATAAACAGATTCCTGCAGAGAGGGAAAAGGCAGCATGCAAGGCCTCCCAAATCCTAATTTGCACTTCATCCAATAACTTCCTAATCCCACACTCAGCACTGTGAGGATGACAAGCAATTACACAATGCTGAGCCAGTGACAAGGTAATTACAGGCTTCCTTTCTTCTAGCCCACAAAGGTTCAATTTATTTCACCATGTGTAAATTATCCTATAACCTGCTGGCACCCATCCCTGCCCTTAGTGCAGTCAGATGAGAAATTAATTGTCTAGGATGGCAAGAGTGGATGAGGGAAAGACAGTGAAGAACAGCTCCACTCCTGCAGGCTTTTATGTGGGCAAACAAGCCATTACCTTTGTATGCGATGCTTCCCAGGGGATGCCACACTGTGTCAGAAAACTCTGCAGCTCTTCCTCACTGTAAAAGTTTATCAGCTCAGGCCTGAAGACTTCTTCCTGAAGGAGCCTCACCAAGGCACTCCCATTACCTGCAAAAGCAGGAAACAGGTTTCAGCACTCATTCTCAGGAAGGGAACTTACCAAAATAATTTCTTAGGAAGACTACAGAAGCAGAGATTGCACAACCCACAGCCAGCAAGAGAAAGCTGTGAACAGTCCTACTTGCAAAGCACGTCACAGACCACTTGTCTAGAGCCCTTCCCTGCTGAGGTCACCAGACTGAGCCCAGCATAGCTGCAGACTCCATAAACACTTATCTAACCCATCATTTGTAACCTTTAAATGACTGATGTGAGGACAACCAAGTGAAGAAGAGCAGAGATAAATGTTACTGCAGCCTTTGGACTGAACAGCTTCAGGCTCAACCTTCACATCTCCCTGGTTCTTTCTCTGGAGCTCCACTTCCACAAAAGCCCACACAGCTCTTTTGCAGCCCAATTCTGAAGCAGCTGCAGCCCTGTCTGCAAAGCCAACTCACACACTTGTTAAGCTTGCAAAACCAGTTTTCCTTCCTATACACAACACCTAAATTCTTAAGGGAACCAGGTGCTAACTGACCTTAGCTCCAGATCTGAGATTATTCCTCTCACTGTTTCTTATTCCATGCAGTCAACATGCAGTGGATGTACTGAATGTTGGCAACTGATCAGGACTAGCATATCACTCTCCAAGTTTTTTCTCAAGTTCTGTAAAAACTTATTCACCCTTTATTGAGATTGTAACAGAGACGCCAAGCACTACCAGTAACTTCCACACTCCAAGTATCAGCCTAACATGAAACAAACACTGACTGGCATTGAAGATGTGCATGCATCCCTCTGCAATCAGACTTTATCTCACCTGGAGTGCAATGCTCTCAAGTCCCCCATATCTCAAATGCATCAGAGCCCACCAGTGCATCCAAACTTCACAGGAAAAGCCAAGCCTCAAGTAGCAAAGTAGCCTGAGAATAGCTGAATTCACCTCAATGTTCCTGCCTTTTCTCAGCACACTTTCAGAGTGTCATGCAATCAGCAATTCTTAATGTTAAACATCACCAAGACTGAAGTCACCAACACATCAAGCACTCCCCTAATAAGCACAACCTGAGCCATTACCTGGCACTGGCTGTGTATGCAGGTTCTTGTCCTTTTCTGTATTGATCACCACTGCTCCTCTCATCAGTGGAGGGAAGAAAGGAGCAACAATAGAGGCATCAAACTTTGTGATGGGGATACTAGAAGGAAAAGCCACCTGCTCAATCACCTCTGTCTCCATTGTGGACCAAAAGTCTTCTACATTCACTTCACTTGATGGCAAGTATTCTGGCCAAGTAAACTATAAAGAGAAAGAAAGAGTGATCAAATACAAACAGCCACAGTTCATTTGACAGTTTTATGCCAGTCTCACTCATGGCATAAGGACTATCCAGGAGAGTGCAAGATGATTTCAGTCTCCTAAAGCTTCCCACAACCACTTTGCATCAGATAAGACTCAAAATTTGACATATTTGACATAAAAGCAAGACATGCTACATTCCCCTACTAGGGCTTTTTCCTCATTAGGGAAGATAGCACCTCAGCAAAACTTGAGGAAAAAAGGAATGTGTTCATGTCAAAGGAAGAAGGCCAAATTCAACAACCTCCATCCAAGGTTCCTACTGCCCAAGGCTGATGGACAAAAGCTGTGGTCCAGGGACAAAGGATCTTGTTTTCCCTGAACTACACACCAACATCTCTAAGAGGAAGCACAGGCATTGCTGCTCCAGCCACATCCTCTTGTCAGGCATCAGCAGAAAACCACTCACAAAGGTCTCATGTATTTATCGTGCATCATGAAGACCAGAGTCAGCAAAAAATCATTATGATCTGCTTTGAACACGAACAGGATATGAGCTGTGGAAAAAAACCTACCTCTATATTTTTCAGTGCTAGGACATTTTCCATATTCCTCTGGGCTATTTCCACCTTGGGGGTTATGCCACAGATTCCACAGATCATATCATTGTAATCCCGGACTGTCAGGCATTCAAAAGCCCAGTAGCCATTGCACAGCAGTTCCTGGAGCTGACCCTGCTCATCAGGACTCAGGCTTTTGTCTGAAAAGAGAAGATGCCACTGTTACAGTTTTCATGTCCTGAAGCCAGTGGAGAGGTAGAAGGGCTCTCCTACACAGGATAAAACCAAACTTGCCCTTCAGAGAATTGTTACAAAGAACTGGTAATAGAGGTACTGTTTGGTTTAGGAAGTGATTTAATAGAAACTCTAAAATAAATGAGGTCTGCCTTTTTATAACCTAACAGTAATCATCAGGTCACACATTGGTATGTTATGGTAAAAAGCAAGAAGAAAAACCCACCAGTTTGCTCCTGAACAGAGTCAATGATATTGCCAACAGCCACTCTGGGATCCTCTCCAAGTTTAATGTGGTTTCGGATTGCAAACAGAAGATCCAAGCTCACTAACAATTTGTTACCCACATTGAAAAGGCCTGCAGTTAAAACAAGACAGTTATTGTCTATAGGGTTCCAGATCTCCCTCACAAAGAAATATATTCCTTACTGATACACAACACACTCATGAGTACAGTTTAGAGGATAATGGAAACACAAACAGTGCTTCTGCACCTCTGAAATGCAGTGTTCCCTGCTGAAAGATCAGCTCCTTTCACAGACTTGTCTGTTGATTTTAAAAGCTACAAGGAACAGCTGTCTATCCATCTCACTAGCCAATGCCATGAAACAGCACTCTCCAGAGATGTCTCTGACTATGATCTCAGGGGTTGCCTTGCAGAACTCAACATTCACATAGAGACCTACACCAGTGAATCAAGGCGTCTTCCTCACTAGAACATTCATGTATTTTCACTCACAAATACAGATTTACTTGCAGAATAAGCAGAAGCAATTAAAAGATAATTCAAATTTAATGCACTGGGGAAATGACGAAGCTTTTCTGTGCCTGGACAATGCCCTGATACAATCCCAAGGCTTCCAAAGGGTTCAGACTGTAGTCATGCTGTATGCTAACATTTTCCTACCTGTGTAAATGTCAGTGAAGCTATGGAGGGCCAAACACTGCAGGTTCAAGCACACTTTGACCTGAGCTGTAACCACCTGTAACCGATTGGCTGTCAGCAGCCAGCATTCCTGAGGACCAGCAAGGGAACTGCAACACACAACAAAGAAACCACTCTGAGTGAAGCCAATGGGTTTTTTAGTCCAGCCCTGCAGTAACTTCAGACATTCCAGTTGACATGAGTTCATTATTATGTAAATCTAAACCAGCTCACCACATCATATCACACGAGAAAAAGTTACATTTTAAAACAGATTTCCCAGGCAGAGTCAGGTCACTGCTCACATTTTTTTAAACAGCGCTAGAGCATGCCTTCAGCTCCACACAGTGGGCATCTACTCTTGGAGAGGTAGAGAAAACCTGTGGTCCCAAGCTGCCCTGGGAGAAGTGTCTGTACCATTGCTGTGGTGATCAGTAACACATTCCACCCGCCAGCCTGTCCTGCACACAGATTCAGAAAGATCTGCTCCTCTACAGTGTAACTGACAAGGAGAAAGTTCAGACAGCAGAGTGCCAGTGGCTGAAATACTGCTGTCCACCTGAGAAAGCAGGAATCAAAGCCAAAGTCAACTCCTTCCCACTGGCAGGGCTTCAATTAGAGCCTATGCAGGCACATGGGAGAGTCCCACATGCAGAGCACTGCAAAGCAGCCAGGCACAGGCAAGGATTTACAATGCACAGGTTGGTAAGGAAATACAGAGCATAAAAAGCATCTCTTCTGGAAAGATCTCAATTAGTGCTAGCCTGACCAAAGCAAATATCCATAATTTGTAATAAGATTTTTTTTTTTTTTTTTTTTTTTTTTTTTTTTTGTGGAAGAAAGAAACAACATTAAACTCCCTAACATTTTGCTGTAGGAAAAATTTTAGATCATGTTTTCAGAAACAGGAGGATATCTGGTAGACTCAGGGAAAAGATATCCTACAGGCTTTCATACAAATCTAGCTAAGGCAATCTAGCCTATGTACTAAAAGTTTCTGACAGTCCTTCAGGTTTCAATTTGGGTATTTTTTCCAAAAAAGCATTCACTCCAGCACACACTTAGAAATGAAAGGAATGGAAATATCATAAGCAAAAAGACAAACACAGGAAATACTCAGACCAGAGAGAGAGAGAAAAAGGACATCACACAATGTACATCTGTAAACACACAAGTTTTCCTCTCTCAACCTCAAAGCATCAGAATGGAAAACAAAGAGGGGATGACTAAGGAAAATACTCTTTCAAAAAGAAAAAAGCTACATCTAGACTTTGCAGTCACTCTTTGATCCTGCTAAATCTTTCCACACACATTGAGCTTACTCAGTGTCACTTTCACCAGCTTCACTACCAGGGGCCAAAGCAAATATTATTTTAGGCACACTCAGAACAAAGAAAATCAGCATGAGTTTGAAAGAGTCAAAATCCAAAGCAGAATCTTACTTCCGTCCCCCTTTGAACAAGGGGCTGTTACAGAGGAGGCACTGCACACATGGGGACTCGTAGTAGTTGGACCAGGAGGTCTGCTCGATGGTCACTGTCTCCTCGCTCACGTTGGACAGGATGAGCCGGGAGCTGTTGAGCTCGTGGATCAGGGTGAAGATCTCTGCCAGCTCCGACTCGTTCTCGGGGATCTGCATCACCTTGCGCAGCAGCTGCAGCGTGGACTGACGCTGCGTTTCCTTCTGGGACGGCGTCAGGGGCTCGCTGGTGTTCAGCACGTCCGGCTGGCCTGGACTGACCTCCTAGAAAGCAACACATCCAACTAGGCAAGCATGGGGATGAAACATTAAGCCCAACGAAGTCATAACAGGCAGCAGAAACACAGTAGCCTTTGCACTCAGTAAACTTGACTTCTACTCTATTGCTGAATCATTGACTCCACTTGAAGCTCAAATTACTTTAACAAAAATAGTTTATTACAGCCCAGCCCTTCTGGAACTCCTGCATTGCCAAACCATCACAGATTGGCCATTGAAATGTTAAGTGCAGTGACTGGGAATCCAGAAGGTGAGGATAACCACCAACAGGTACATAAACACTTCAATAACCCTGACCACTTGAATCCCCAGTTTTCACTATCTTTCTCCACAGGTTATCAGGCACTGGCTCAGGGCAGCCTGCACAGCTCTCCTGAAGCTGGAGGAACCAAGTACTAATAGAGAACTGGGGGCTGTGATACACAGAATACACTGATCAATAACAACTGATCAGCTACAGTATACCCTTCTCCAACACATACCATCACAACAAAGTGCACAAACACAGGAGAACCAAACTCCAGGCTGTGCCAGGAGAACAAAGAGAACCCAAACAGGCTGATCTATTTAATCCCTGAAACACTTCTGTCAACATTTCAACCTGGTTTTCTGACTAGTCTACCAATGAGATAAATGATCAGTCAAAAGCCCAGAGACAACAATGAACTGTGTGACAGGAATGTTAAACAGATCTATAACCAGAAAAACACTAAATGAGGAAGAGACAAGCCACATGCCTCTCAGAATGGAAGCTGAGCTAAGCACACTGCTGTTCCTTACACAGCTGTTTGTGTGTAAGTTTCACACAGGCCATCTCAGTTTGTTTGCATTTTTAAAGAAAAAACAAAACCATTAAAAAAAGTTATGTTTTTCAAAATAAAAAAAAAAAACAAAAAACTGGCAAGTGGATGAGTCATTACTACATAGACTAAAATTCTGCCTATTTGCTGAGTAGGCATTTTAGCTAAGAGCAGGAAAGCTCCTTTTTTTTCATTTATTGTTTTAAAAACATCACAATTCAGTATGAAAAAAGCTAACCTCTTGAGACTGTAAAGGCAAAAAAAAAAAAACCAACCCAGAATTAATTACATCCACACAGAACAGCAGACAACTGAAAACATATTTATACACCAGAAAAAAACCCCTACATCCAGAAATAAATTCAGGTTGGAACTAAGATTGCTCTACAAACCCTTAAAAACAGGAAACTCTAATACAAGATGTACTAACTTAACTGACACTAGCCCCAAACTGCTCACAAAGCAGAGCATACTTGGGAGTTTCTTGATGAAGTCTGAAGTTCAGCAAAGCTGACACAACAATGCGGTGACTTCAGGGTCGATTTTCTCAGCATGTTACTGACACAACAGAAGCACTTTTAGGTTGAGGAGACACCCAGTGGTAGCACTGGGTGTGCTCAGACTCTCTCAGCCTGATGCACCACTGCTACAGCAGTTCAACAAACATCATCCCAGATATTTTAAATAGAAACCATTCTGCCAGAAAAGTTTATCACAATGCAAAGATAAAAAAGCCCAAACCATGTTTCCATGCTTCCACAGGGACTTGCAAACTAGATTCATGTTGGGAAGGGTAGATAAATATGATTAAGAACCACAAAATAAACGTCTTTACAGATTTCTCTGCCCAGCTCATAACAGACACGTGATAAAACAAGCCAGCTTGAACCTTACCAAGGATTTTGCTGTCTTCTCAGTCCTGTCTTTGGCAAGGTTGTATCCACAGCTTGGACAGACGCGTGGCTTGTGCCTGTTTGTATACACATAGCTGCAGGAGGGGTTCTTGCATTTCCCTCTGCCACGTGATGTTGCTAATCCCAAATCCTGAATGACATAAAAGGGATGTTTGCTGACCTTAACTTTTAATAGGTGGACTCCATGATGTTAAAGGTCTTTTCCAGCCTTAATGACTCTATGAATCTAAGCCAACAAGATTCTAAAAAAGATTATTATATATTTTATCTCCACTTCATAACATCTTGTTTAAACATCAATAGCAAGCCCTGTCATTTTGCACAGAATCCTTTAAGTACCACTTAAACATTCTGGGGCCAGTTCTTCAGACCAGAAGAACATTAAATGCACTCAGAAACCCCTGATCCTCTCTGCTGAATTCAAGGAGGGGATGGGGATTATGCACTGGAACATGAGTTAAAATCCATCTCTTAACAAGGCCCCAAACATAACTGCAAAACAGAACACAGTCATCCTGGACTAGGTCTAGAGATGACACTTCACATCTTGAAGTGTCACAAATATATCTTGAAAACAAGATGTATTTGTGCAAATCAGCAAAACAGAAGCCCTGTATCATTCTCATCCCAGAGAGGACACTCCCCGTGGCAGAAGTCACAGAAGTTGAAAAATTCTCACCAAAGTTACAGTGCAACTGTACTTGTAGGAAGGGAATATGTCTGGTTTGACCTCTTCAACTTTAACCTGAGATGCCCTGCTTGTCACAGAACTGTGGAGCTAGAGATTGAAATCAGAAAAAAAACACTCATCAGACACCTACTACTAAATACATACATGCACCAATATAATTACCTATTAGCATTTCTACCCCCAAGAGATTAATTAATGTTCATTTAATATTCATAATACCATAAGACACTATTTTGCATGCAAAGGAATTACAATTCAGAGATTCATTTCAGCACCTGGGCATACTCAGTCGTATTTTACATGTGAAAAGCTCAGTATTCAATTTGCATATCAGATTATCAAAGCACCAGAAGATCCTTAAAACATCTTCTGGAAGTAGCTGGGATGTTCCCAAAGTAACCAACAGCAGGATTGTCCAAAAGCATCTCTCAGCTCAACTCCCACACTCAGCCACCAAGCATTCATTCTGTTATCCAGCCATACAATAAAAACAGCCTCTCTCAGATCTCATCACCATAAGGCTGCTACATTTTTTGTTCTATTTCTCACTCAGGTCATATCACTCACCTGGGAGAAGAAAGAAAAAAAAAACAAACAAAAACCACGAACAAAACCCTCCCCCCCAAAAATCCAGGAAAATAGTTTGCATTTGAAGAACAACCTTTTGCTCCTCAGCAGTTGGTGGCTGCAGAACTGGCTGGCCCAATTGTTTCAGTGTACTGGGTTTCAAGCCTGATGTTCTCACAGGGGAATGCTTGTCTAGAAGGAGCAAAGAGATGCACCAGGTAAAATGTGAGAAAACAGGTTTTATTGCTTTCTGACATCTTTGTTAAATGCTACTGTAGTCATGTGAGATCTTTCCTCTGAGCTTGAAATAACCCAAGCAGGTGTTTCATGACCCATTTACTCCACTCAGGCAAACTGGTTTTTTCCTAGCATTGGTAACCACCTCCCCTGAAATCTAAATTATTATTGGTAGACACCACTTCAGGAAGGGGAGGAATGACAACAGCTCCCAAAGCATACAGAGAATGCTGCTTTTACCAGTACTTGCAAAGGCCTGCCTGCTGCTCAGCTGCTCTGTACGGGCTTCTCTCCTCACACGGATTGGAGCAGGCAGAATGGCTCGCATGGGTCTGGCTGCAGCCAGCAAGGAGGGCTTGGGTCTTGGTTTACTCTTTACTTCTTGTCCCTTGTGTGTAGCAGCTGTTGCATCAGTTCTGAAAAACAAGAGCTACAAGTGGAAAAATATTCCATCTATTTCCCCTCAGCTTCAGCTTTTCTCTTTTCCCTGAATTGTGCTTTGTTAGCACACTAATCACAGCTATTTCAATAGAAAGAGAGACAGTGCTAAGGCTGCATCTGCCCTGTGAATACAATCTGTCACTTAAAAAAAAATAGTTCTGATGGACAAAGACTCAAGGAACAAGCCTGAACTGGCACAAAAACAGACAGCAAACACAGTAAGTCTTACAGGAAGCACTGCCAACAGCCTTCAACTTCTTGGACTAGGCCCATGTGCACACAATAGGCACCATATGCTCCCATAACACATGGAAAACTGACTCACCCCACCACTGGCTTTTTCACAGAGGCATTTGGACTCAAAACCTCAGAAGACGTCGACATCCCCAGCCCTACACTTCCTTTCTCTGCCTGCTCCGAAGAGGTGTCTGCTTGCCGCTGGCTCTCTTGGCCCAGCTCCACTCCAACAGCATTTCTCCTGTCTTCAGCAAGCACATTATTTGGGAGAAAGTGGCCCTCAGAGATGATCACTTCCTCCCACTCCATCTCAGGCATCTGCCCTCCGACAGGCACAGCATTCAGCAGCTGGCTGACAGCTTCAGAGCTCTCCAAGGCAGACTTGGAGGAGCTCTTGCTAACGGCCGTGGGTTCTGTGAGGGCTGACTGCTGACCTCTTTTAGCTGCTGGAGTTTTAAGAGAGGTGCCTGAATTTGGCTCAGATTTGCTTTTTGGTTGCTTTTCCTGGAAACAAGGAGAGAGTCACATTTCAGAGCTTTCAGCTTTCACAGATAAGCAAGTCCCCAGCACATATGCCATGTTTCCCATGGCCTATTGGATCAAACCAGCAAAATTCCAAGTGTTTAAGCAGTGAATTGTAAGGGACTAGACAGACAGCATCTCCTACAACAGCAAAGACCCTGCTGACATTGTATCTGGCTTCTTGGCCCTTCATGTATTATTTTTAGACACTGTTTACTTTGAAGAATCAATCTTTCTTAAACTCCCTTAAATATCACCATTAGCATCAACACCACAAAGTCACCCGTCACCTCTGTAGCAAGGGCCCACCTCCTACGCTCCTCTTTCATGGCTTCAGTTCTCTGATGCTGTCTGTTCTTCCACATTATTGAGCAATCAAAGAGAGTTACAACAGAGAATTTGCATCTTTTGGATACATGCTTTCAGAAAAGCAAGCATGTGAGCCAACCAGAAAACAGGATTACTTAGGAGGATTTTCTGACTTTAAGAAAAATATTTCTTCCAAGACTAAGGCTACAGAAATCATTGTACTGGAGTCAACAAAGGTACAATGAACTCAACAGAAATATGGAAAAATATATCAGAAATGGAATCAAGCAGATCAGAGTAATTCTGAAAGACAAAAAGGAAAACTCCTTCTAAAACCTTTCAGTTCTAACCAGGGTAGGATTGAACAGCAGCAGACATGCCCTGATTGGGCAGAATCCAGAAGTACTTTTTGCATTCAGCCATCTCTCTACCTCAGAAAGTTTACCAAACAAAAGTGAAGATGTCACCATCACTATTTGTACCCTACCACACAGGAAGCTCAGCCTTCAGCTCAGACACCACAGAGTTTGCAAGCTGCCCAAAAGAGTTCTCATCCCTGAATGTTTAATGGATCCAGACACAAAACAAAGGAAGTTTAGAACAAATCCACACAAAGCCACTGAATGTCAATGCCAATTTTCATACTGAGAACATTCTTTAAATTGTGTCTGAGGAGTCTTGCTTCAGACAGAAATGCACATCTGTTCAGTGCCAAGGTTTAAGGATCAAGTGGTTTTTTCCTGTACACAGCTAGCAAAGATGCCAATAGCTTAAGCAAAGTAGGCATCATGCAGAGAAAGACTTTTCCACTCAATCAACTCTACCAACACCTGGAAACTTCCTTCCAGTCAGAGGTCAGAACATCATTATCAGACACATGGCCATGAGACAACAATACTCAACAACACTTCAGCTTCCATTACATCAGCTTTATTAACAAGCTCCTAAAGGATTGTTGACTGAGAGTTGTTCCTCCTCTCTGTTAAAAAAACAACGTTGAAAGACCACAGAAAACTAAATTTGTGGAAAAACTTCAAATGTCAGTATTAATTACCACAAAACAACTTCCCAAACTTAGCTGGGGCTCTAGCAGGAAGAACAGGCAATGCCTTCCAAGTCACAGGAACTGTGCAGGGAGAGGGCTAGTTCTCAATGAGAGAACTAGCAAATGCAGCCCCATCTATTCTAACAGATATGAGCAGCATCTTTACCCAAGGTGTGGTGATTTCAGGTCTCACCTTGGCTAAATGTCCTCTGCAACAGTGACTTGCTCCAGCACATGCACTGGAACACAAATGCAGGGATAATTTCTGGTATATCTAACCTCCTGTGCTAGATCTACAGGTCTAGAAGTATCACAGGCATGCACAAAAACAGCATGTTTTGTCTCGAAGTCAGGAAAGGAAAGACAAATTTACCTTTGGGATCCATTTCCCTCCCAGGAAGTTCCCACACGTTGGGCATTTTGGTGGCTTATGCCTGGTGACATAAGTGAAGGAACAGCCAGGATTGGTGCAATTTCCATGTCCCCTGCGAGTATAGGTGGTTGTCTGAAACAAGAATTGTCAAGAATTTGTCTACATACTGCAAAGCTGTGCTTATCACTTCTTTTTCCTCATAAGTACCTTACAAATGTTATTTGGCAAATCACCAGCTTTCCACTATTATTCATTTTACTGAAGAAACACCACACAGCTGGGTCAGAGTGAGTCAGCACCGTAACTACTGCAAGTCTAAATGCTCAGTCTACACAACAGCCTCTGGCATTACCAGAATTTAGATCAACTTGCAGAGCAAAGATGAACAATGCACATAACCTCCTGGAGAGGCTAATCTTGCATTTACAGTGATGTAACATTATTTTTTTGAACATGAAAAAGTCATAGTCAGGTGGCATTAAAATGCTTCTAACAGCAATCCACAGTAAGACAAGATGTGATTAACACTCATGACAACACAGCAAAAAGACTTGAAGACAAGTACTCATGATGCAAAGGCAGTTTCGCCAGTAATTTGTTGCTGTATGGGATGGTCAAGTGTTCCCTATTCCTTCACTGTAACTTGCTATGAACTACTGAAACATGAGCAGCATCACCAGGCACTATTTATACAAACAACTAAAGCAGAACATGTCACCTTTGCCAGGACAACTGCACTGACACATTTGAGTTTTTGTCAGCATAGCACTTCCCAATATCCTGTTCTCAACACTCCCGAGGGAGCTGTTGTACTGTAACTCCCTAACTAGGTACAGATTTCTTCTAGAAATGCAAGTGCTGCTGTCAAAGAAATGAGTCAATTTTAACCAGATCATTCTCAGGAACAAAGACCTGAGGTATTTCCGTTCTCCCCAAGACAACTGGAAGAGCATCACACTATGCACCACTATAAATATCTGCGGTGTTCCACCAGCTGGAAGCATTGAGAACCTGGAAAACAGGATTTGTGCTAGCTTATATAACAGAAGGAGCTGCAGTACTGACTGTACAATGAACTCCCAAAATGGCTACAAAAACACTCCAGGTAGCTGGAGAGGTTAGATTAGTGAAATAATACTATTCTTCCTCATGCAACAGGCCACACAGCCTTTAACATATTAAAGGCTTCTCAAAACCTCAGGTCATTGCTCCCCTCCTGTCAAGGAGCTTTGGAGTTCATGTTTTCCTGCCATAAGAGCAGACCCCTGCCCTTAAAGGGATAGACACTGCTTTTTAAGAAGACAAATATGCATCCAACAAGTGGATGTAGATGGCTACACAGAAACTGCTGTTGGCCAGATGTGTTGTGATAGCTTTATCTACTCCATCTGTTTCCAAGAATTCCCTGAGGATGAAGGCAGAAGAAATGAGCCCTGTAAGACACTGTAGGAAGTCAGAGACCCTTTTAGCCTATGCAAGACATAACACAAGAGACAAGAAATACATCAACTGATAAGGTGACTCCAAATTAGATAATCTTTAAAACCTGAATCATGAGCAATCCCCTCCCTCTAACATCTTTAAGACAAATCTACAACAAATACAGCCAAACTTTAACACAACATATGAAACTCTGAATTTCTTACCAATTTAATTGATGCTGGGTTCTCCACAACAGAATGAGCTGGCAAAGGTAACATGATAAACTGTGTTGCAGGTGTGGAGGAGCTACTCTCTTCAGTATCCTAAAATGAAGTCACAGGGAAAATACATGCAGAAAACAAGACATGGTGACCCATATCCCTCCCTCTCACGAACATTAATGTGTCTTAAGGACTGATGAGACCAGAATACAGGACAGAGTAACAATCATTTCAAAAGCAGTGTCCTTACCAGGCGTACTCTGGAAATTACCAAACTCCTCAAACAAAACAGAGAATCCAGCTCTTCACAGACTAAGGTTTCTATGACCAATCCCTAAAACTTCAGCTTAAAAGGACTCCCTTCTACCTCTCTGCAACCAGGAAAACAGCTATCAGGAGCACAGCAGTAGCATTTTTTCTCACCCAAATCTTGCAGTGCAACTGCAGAATCCAATTAGTGGCACTGCAATACCTCAAATATTGTTATAACAAACAATTAAAATAACTCAGTCATGTTAAGACACAATTGATATCAGTACAGCGCTGAGTCAACCTGCAAGTAGAGACAACTCAGTCCAGGAGTTACTTCTGCATCATTGATTACAAAAGTTTCTGTTTCTCTCAACACTGAACAAGTTGGGCAATCAGAGGATCTCCTGCATCCACTGAGGATCTCAAGTTGAATGGGGGAAAGAGCACTCAGATGTTTCAGGTGAGATCTGGCAGGAGCCTGAGTATCACTGGAAAAACTTACCCTCCCAGTCACCACAGTGACCACAGACACCCCATCGGGCACCTGGGGACGGGCCACAGCGATGCCCCCGTTGGAGATGTCTGTGGAGCTGCTAACCAGGGTCTCCTCAATAACCACCTGGGCTGTCTGGTATGGTTGTCCTTCTATTTCCAAAGAAGCCTCATCCAAGAGGATCTCTCCAGCCACTTTCTCTGCCACAGGCCCAACATAATGAGAGAGAACCTCTGAGGTAACTGCTTCATCTGCAGCCTCGGGCTGGGCAAAGGCTGCCGTGTCCTCTGCCAGCCCCTCGATGGCAATGCAGGGCTCCGAGCCGCCGGCCTGGCCCGAGTCCACGGAAAGGACGTTCTGCACGGCGTCACGGGGCACGCCGGTGACATTCCTGGGAGCTGCCAGGCCTTCGGATGCTGCCGGGCTCTGCGTCACACACAGCTCCAGAGACTGCCTGCTCCTGTCTTCTTGAAGAGTGGTTTTGGGAATAATTATATAATCGGAGCGAGGAAGAATCTTACGGAAGCCTGGAATGTCAGGGACTACTGCAGTTCGAGTGGATGACTTGGAGTTCTGTGGGCAAAACCAGAGGATGGAATGAATTGAGAATATGAGAAAAAGAGAAAATATGAGAGAAAAGGAGAAGAGAGAAGAAAAGGAGAAAACTGAGAGAGAAAGAGGAGAAAAGGAGAATATGAGAAAAGGAAGGGATTCAGTTCTCAATCCTGCTATTTTAGTCAGAGGATGGAATAAATTAGTATGAGAAAAGGAAGAGATTCAGTTCTCAATCCTGCTATTTTAGTGCCTAAGGTTCAAATAATTTCCTGTAGTTTGCCGGGAATTTCTCCACATGACAGAGCCTGTAGAATCCCTCTCAGTCCTGGTTTTATCACCCACTTTACCAGTGCTCACTCTGATGAAAGGACACAAAAATAACTGCCATGAGCAGGTACCAGACATATCCATCCTGGATTACAAACCATCCTCCCTCAACTGAACAGGCAAAAGGAAAAAGGCAGCGGCCTCACAATGCTTCTCTAAAGGCTGCCCTGAACAAGGATACAAACTAGAATCTGCAGTTAAATGACTCTCCCACACAGTGCTATGTAAGCAGGTAACTGCCTCTCTCCTGAGCAGCCAAAGAGCTTCCAGAAAGAGAACTCACCGGGTCCAGCCCCTCTTTCTCTAGCTTGGCTTTCTCCAAGTAGTAGCTCTTTTCAGCCACACTGAGCAACCTCCAGCTCTCACTGATCTTTTTGTTGATTTCAGATTGAGGGAGGTGTGGAAGCTCTTGTTGTACTTTCAAGTAAATATCATAATAGTAGAGAAGGTAAGCAGATCTGAAACACAACCAGAAATTGAAATATTAATGTCACTCTACATAAACTCCTTCCTACATAAAATCCACAAGGTTTAGGTTTGTCTCAAGGTCGTGTGACAAGAAAGTTACATTTTATTTGTAAATGCATTTTTTAATCAAATGGAAACTCTCTGAGGAGAGCCTCAGAAGTAAAAAAGAGAACCTCAGAGGAACAGCCTAAGGCTAATTATTCTGGGGTAAACAAATTCTAAACTGAGCAACAGTGGCACCTGTAAAGAATGTCTGAGCAGGCCCAAAGTGTCAAGCTGATATTTCATATGCAATGTTTTACACTATGAAGTGTTCCAAGTGCACTGCAAAGTCCACTTATGTCAGAAACAAGGAAAACTGCTCCCACACCCTACAAAGGAACTAAATGAAGGCAGAAAGAACTTACCGAGGCTTCTTGGCTTTTTCTCCAGGATCACCAGTACTTTTGTGTTTCTTCTTCTTCTTGGATGGCACCGGTGAGGTGTAAGTGTAAGTGCTCTCTATCTCCTCCATCACCACAGTTACCTCAGCGCCATCATAGGGAGCCTCCATGGCTGAAACACATATGCTGTGTTAGCTCTTGCCAAATTATACAATGCTTCTCCCAACAAACAGCACTTTTAATCACTTCAGTAAACTAACAGCACTGCAGGCATGTAAGTTTGACTCTAATTGAAACAAGATAACTACGTGTTCTCTATTAATCTACTTTTAGAAGGAAACTTCTGTTTCTACAATGCCAATACCATCAGCTCAGCGCGGACGCACTGCATCTGCATTTCCAGAGCTGCAATTGCGCGGGGAACTCTCAGGTAAGTCTGGTGACCCAGAGGGAGCCGCACACTCCGCCAGCAGCTGTGGGGCTATCAGTGTCACATCACGGCCACGCTACACGAGCCGGGCCGGAGGCTGGAGGAGAACGACACCTCACAGCCCCTCACGCACCGCCAGCTCCCCGGGACGCCTCGCTTGAGGGTGGCTGCAGTCCCGGGGCGCTGGGAGGCGGGGAGGACACGGGAGATAAAGGCAGCACCACACACGGCGGGTAGAGCCCCGGCAGGGCCCGCACCGCCGGTGAACCCGGGCGAGCCTCAGGCCCCCAGTCCCGCCTCCTCCACACCGCCCGGGGCCAAGCGGAGCGGCGCGGCTCCCTCGGGTCCTGCTAAATGCGTCCCCACTCACCGGACAGCTCCGCGGCCGCGCGGGCGGGCAGGCGGCGAGCTGTGGTCACGTTCCCGCTGGGGCTCGGCGGCGTGGGGGAGGCAGCGCCGGGGCCAGGGGCCGGCCGCGCAGGGGGGAGCGTGAGTGCGGGCGGTGCGGAGCGGGCCGCCCCGGCATGCTGGGCCGGCTGCGGGCCGGGCCCGGGCGGAGCGGGGCTGCACCGGGGCCTCCGCGCCGGGGCCGCCGCCGGAAGTGACCGCGGCAGCGGCGTCCGGGGCACGGCGGGGCGGGACGGCGGCCGGGAGGGAGCCGCTCCTGCGCGTGCGCGGCGAGGGGACGGCGCGCGCGCGCGCCGCGTTCCCGCCATTTCTCGTGAGGGCGGCGGCGCGCGAGGGCGGCGCGGCGCAGTTGCTGCTTAATTAGTGCTTAATTAGCGTATAATTAGCCCTTAGTTAGCACAGGGCTCGGGCTGTGGCACTGCGTGCTGCAGGAACAGCATCGAGTTCCGGTGTGCTGTCTTCACGCATTTCTCCGTCCTGCACTCCTTGGAGCAGCGGTCCGGGCCTGGCCCTTCCCCTGGTGGAGAGCAGCAAAGCAGTGCGCCAGTGACGCCATTCCAGCAATCACAGAATCATTTAGGTTGGAACAGACCTCTGAGATCATCGAGTCCAACCTATAACCCAACACTGCCGTGTCAAACAGACCATGCATGCCATGTCCAGTATTCCTTAAATGCCTCTGAGGATGGTGACTCCACCTCCTTGAGCAGCCCATTCTGCTGTCTAATCATCTTTTCTGTGAAAAAAATTTGTTCAACATGGATTACTAGGGGAATATGAGTCAGAATATAATACTCCTGCTGGTGAAAGAAGCCCCATAGTAATGAATACAGGCTAGTTAGTACAAGCTCTCAGCTATTAATGAAATAGTTTTCCAGGGAAATCAAAAGCAGCAGAACCAGTAAGAATACCGGTGAAGCCTGACTGGTAAGGCAGAAACAATATACTCAAAAATGAGAAGATATAAAAGGGTTAGAATAATTAATAGCTAAATTTGTGAAGAAATTCCTCTTACTATTCAATCTAAACCTCCCCTGGGACAGCTTAAGACTAAATCCTTTCATTGTGTTGCTGGTTATGTCACTGTAATACCTATATATAATATATATAAATTTGTGTATATATCATATATATAATACACATATACTATATATATATATATAGTATATATATTTTTTTTTAATAAATTGGAAAAGTTAATGAAAATAATTGATTAGGAAGGTTTCATAACTTCCAAGGGTTACCTGGGTATACACCCTCCTGTCAAGGACTTGCAGAGATAAGGTCACCCCCAAGCCTCCTTTGCTCTGGGCTAAACACACCCAGCTCCCTCACTTGCTCCTGGACTTGTGCTCCAGACCCTTCCTCAGCTCTGTTCCCTTCTCCAGACACGCTCCAGCCCCTCAATGTCCGCAGCAACAGACACAACCAGAGGACACAGTCTCAAGCTGCACCAAGGGAAATATAGGTTGGATATTAGGAAAAAGTTTTTGACAGAAAGGATGATAAGGTTCTGGTATGGCCTGCCCAGGGAGGTGGTGGAGTCACCATCCTTGGATGTGTTTAAAAAGAGACTGGATGTGGCACTCAATGCCATGGTTTAGTTGAGGTGTTGGGGCTGGGTTGGACTCAATTATCTTGAAGATCTCTTCCAACCCGGTCATTCCGTGAATTCTGTGAATTCTGTGAATTCTGTGAATTCTGTGAATTCAGTCCAGCTTTCCAGTCCCAGTGATGAGGTAGGTGGAGTGACAAGCAGCAATCCACCTGGAAATCTGGGGAAGCTCAGTGCTGGGTTTAAGGGGCAGCGCTGTCACTGCTGTGTCATGAGAGTTGCCAGAGATCTCCCTGGTGGGAAACAGGGAATCACCCCAGGTACTGCAGCCACTCCAAGTATTCTCAGGACCTTTGTATCCCAGCATTATTTTATCAGCATTTGTCTCTGAATTTTGAAGGATAAAAGTTTCCCTACATAACAAAGTAATTGTTTTCTCAGTTTTCATGAATGTTAAAACTTAGTGCTTTGCTCCTCAGGAAACAAACAGCCCTATTAGGCTCTCTACCCATAACCCTCTTCCTTTGAACCTTTTGGGAAGCATGATATCGTGCAGCTATTGCTTGAACACATTTTTCAAATTACATATTTCTGATTTTTTTTTCTGTATCCATGTCTATTTCTGTGATTTACATCATGACTTCTAACTTTAGATGAATATAAACCACATCTATCTCGTGCCTCCTCTGATTGTTGAGGAGCAGAAAAAGGGCTCCTCTCTCCGAGCCAGTCATTAATAAACCACACAAAGCAATGATACTACAGCCAGTATTCAATCTGCAAATGGTTATTTATTCTCCTGAAGTCCTGCAGTCGTTTCTGTGCTCTGTGAGTGTTTATTTGTGATAATTGGAAGCAAGCTGTCTGTTCTGCATCAAACACACCATCCAACCCTTCTACTTTTCCAAAGCTCCATACTTTTATTCAGATCCATACACGGCCAATAGAATTTTCTTGGAATTATTACCTAGCCAAATATTTTTAACAAAATGGCTGTTTGACTTTACAGGATGAATGAACAACTGAAAGTAATAATTTAAGAGAAAAACATTTGAAGGAAAGCAGCCATGTTTCTGTCATTGTTCATGGAGGAGTTCTGACAACGTGCATGCTGTTGATGGCATTAGAAACTCAAATTCTTTTCTAAATTGACCATTTTGGCTCTTCCATGGACATTTACATGGCTTTATCTCAGAAAAAAAAATCACATTAACAACATGAAAATGTTAACTACACGGTGCTAGCACTTTGAGGAGCAGGGGAAGCAGCTGTGTCCGGGTGTCTGTTGTGAGTCCAAGGGAGCCCTGCTGTGTCAGGAGCGGAAGGGCGCTCTCTCCCCAGGACACTTCGTGCATCATTACCTCAGGAAATAAAAGGTATTGGTGGAGATTGCACAGGGATCTCCCCCTTCATTTTCCTGACAAAGTACAAGGGCCTCTTTGAAGGAGTTCAAAAGACAGGCAGGCACACAGAACTGCAGCAGGTACGAGCCTTTACTTCTGAAGAGTTGACTTCAGAGCCTGCTTAAAAAGACGAGAAATTGTAACAGATTATTCAGCTATTGAGTAGCAGTTTGTCCAGCTCCAGCTCCTCCACCTGCAATCCTCCCAAGGCTCCGGCCCTGCTCAGCTCAATGACCACGATGTTGTCGTGTGAGTGCTGTGGGGCAGAGGTGTCCTCTCAGAGTGTGATTTGACATCGTCTCTGTGTCACATCGAACAGCACCAGTTTCCAGCAGGCTTTCATGACCCCATCCCCTGAAACAAAAGCCAAATGAGATTGAGACAGCGTGGCAGCAAGGAGAAGAACATTGCCAAGGGCTTGGGGAGATCATCTTCCCCGTGGAGGTGCGGAGCTTAAACCCCCATGGGACCTGCTGTGGCCAAGGGGGCGTGGTAGGGAATTTAGGAGTAGCCAGGGGGAGCTGCTGTCAGCTGTAGTCACCAGGGACAGTTTCCATAAGTCCTTCCAAGCTGCTTTAAACTTCCTGAGATTTGCTCTGACACTGCACTGCTGACTCTGGGCACTTTCTTTCCTCTGAGAGTAAACCCACACTGAACCTGTCCCTCTTTCTGTGCACACATCTGCTACAGCTCCCATGTCATCGTGCCATCCGTGGGCTTTGAGCTGACAGTAACTGCACGGTGTGAGAGCAGCAGCCAAAGGACTGCAGACACAGAAGGAGCATCTGACTGTTGAAGGGTAAAGGAGCCCCTTTCCCTCAGAAGTGCTGCAATAAAAATGTTACTATTTTTGAAATGGCACCAGTGGAAAAGCAACAAAGGGATTTGTTGTATTTCTGATGAATTCTGGTCTGTTTGGGAGCTCTTTGCAAGAATAAACATTAAGGATCTCAGAAATGTTAACATTTTCAGTGTTTCTGGTTATATGCACAGGTTTTGGGGGGTGGGTGTAACAAAACAAAACTTGGGCTGTTACTGAACTCACAGCACAAAATCAACAAGAAGAGGGACTGAAAGTGTTACATTCAATTTAGACAACAAAAGATCTCTTACTGTGTTATACAAAACAAAACACACATTAAACCAATAGAGTTATTGCACCAATCTCTCATTTAATCTTCTAGGATCATAAACATTTCAATTTCTTTGTGAGACAGTTCTAGCCACACAAAGCACTTGGGATTTCTTTGTTTATAAAACAGAACCCACCTCTCTTCTTTGAAATTGCTTTGGCTCCTGAGTCACCATCCAACCAATCTTGTCCTCAGCAGGCAAACAAGCACATATTTTACAGTCAGTGAAATATTTTTCTTTCAAAAAGGCTACAGAAAACATTTTCTAGAAATTTATTTTTTTCCTAAGTAATAGAAGAGAAGCAATGATTCATATGACTTCTCTATTTTACTTGTTTCAAAAAAACTGTTAGCAAGGCTTCATATTTTAAACGGAAATTTGATCTTTACAGTTTTCCACTAAATGAGACATAAAAGTATTATATGTTAGGTGTTGAAAATAATGAAAGCTATCAGAAGAAGCACAGTTTAAAAGCCTGTCTGTAGAGACTTTATGAGGAAGAGAAACCTAGTGATACATTTGTGTAAAATAATGAACAGTGCAGAACAGGCCAGGCAAGCGTTCCCATTTCTTCTTTATTGCTGATAAAGGAAAGGGGAGAGCTTTTGAAATTGGAAATTCTAATTTTGTTCAGATTTGGAAAGTGAATTGGAAACATAACCATTCAAAGCTCAGAGGAAGAAATACCTCCAGCTTTACTGCCAGTTGATCACAGAGCAGTATAGGATATCTGCAAGTATCCAAAGCCCACTAAAACTTCCCATGCATAATGCACCCATCTAAAAAACTGTGTCAAGATCCACAGGAGCTGAACAACTTCCCGTCTAAAAAATAAATTCATCACCCTCTAAAAACCGGGACAAGTTCTAAACACCCTGTACCACCCTAAGAGTGTATTAGAGAGGATTGAATACAGTGCTGTTGGCTATTGAAGGCAAAATCTTAATGAAGTCTAACTCTTCATAGGATCCAAAATATATTTTCTTGAAGTAAACATTTCAGTCCTACTCATTTCTCTCCTCAGGAACATCAGGAATATCATGTCATTATCACCGATTAAGCTGGAGCTCTCC